CGGAGCCAGCGTCTCTCAACCAATCATGATACCGACAGATATGTGACCCGTTGTTCCCCTATTTGCTTTTCTTTTTTTCAGGTTTAGGGCCGACCACCGCTAAGGATAAGGAGGATTGAGAATCGATGGCTTGCAACCGGTCAGGTACTCGGTCAGCGCACTCCTTTTTTTCAATGGCTGAGAGTTGAAATCGTTACTCATGCTCGTCATCCATTTAGTTTTTTGCCCAAGCTGTGTTTTCTGGATTCGCCGGACTTGGCGCAACTAAATAATCTAGGTAGATAGTCAAGATTGGAAACGAACCAAAGACAGGCCCCAAACGCGCCCGTCGTGGGTTTTGAAAGGGGAAGGGTCGTGAACGCTCTCGTGGCTCTACCGGAAGTGGGAAACTCGCGTCTTTCTCAACGACTTCAATCATTCATACTTCATACGCAGTCATTACGCAGTACGCAGCACGCAGTCCAACCTTACGAATACATAACGAAGCAGTCTTCATTGGATATCACTTGGGAGAATATACAGATTGAGGTAATCTCGCAAGGCAGCCAAGAAAACATCGGACGGGTGAAGAAAGAAGATAAGACGATTCTCCAACAAAAAGAAAGAAAAGACAATTTCGAGCTGCCGTTAGCCGCTTCTTGATGCATACTTACGACATATGACCTTAGGGCAGCACGTAGGTTATTTCAGTTGGATAAGGTTGAGAGTAACTGCGTTGAACGTTGAAGTACTTTCATACCTACCTAGACTACCTACCTGCCTGCCTGCCTACCTGCCTAGGTACCTACCTAGGTAGATGCCCTCAGACGCAAGTTCCTTTATTTAAGGAAACCCCAGACGGAGATCTTAGGAGATGGCTCCTGCTGTGGCGGTTAACCCCCTCGGAGCATCAAGTGGTCCTTCCGTCCTTCCTTGAATATCAGCTAGATTCAATTCAAAAATTTTCTGACACGGCTTCCCCAGAAGTTCCCAGATCCACTTCCACTTTCACTTCAGCCTTCCCGTAATGTCACTTTGCAAAATCACTACCTCCTGATCCATCATCAGCCCGGTATCGACATTACTACGGTTATCTGCTAATTTTCAGAAAGAAATAATAGCTTCAAGATGGAATTATCCCCGACAGCCATAGGAGAAGTCATTCACCCTACTGCGGTTTATTACCGTCCTCCCCCAGAAACCCAGGAACAGTCAGAATCTTGCGATGCCGTTAGCCCCCATGCTGAACTCCCTTGGGCGGACTCTCTCCTCAATCCCAAAAACCGTATAGACAGCCTTGATCTACCCCCAAACCCCCTATGGCGTGTCGACGGCTGTGCCGGCTTGGGCAGCCAGTACTATGTGCTCCCGCTTTTCATCGAACAGGTTCCTCCTATACGCATGGATGTCTTCGTTTCGAATTCACAGCCACATCTTATCCGTGACCAGCTCGAACTTGACAAGGCCTTCCACACCAAGGACTCCGCTCGGCTGCCCAGACTCGCTATAGCAAGACACATTGTCCGAATCCTCCAGCGTTGGACTACGACCGATTTCCATGACTTGTCATCTTTCGAAAAATTCTACAAAGGCGTGCCTTTCGGATCACGTCTGATCCTAGAGAATATGTCACTCGACACGAACCAAGTTCGAGTTAAAGTCGGCCTTAACCATAACCTGGAGCATAAGCTGCTTCCGCTTTCAAGGTTGGCTGACCTCTGGGGCTCAGAATTCCCCTTCCCTCCAGCGGTCGACTTCTTTGATCTTCACGTAGTCAGGGTTCTACATGATAGCGTTTGTCTCGTTCGAATTAACGAGCAGCTATTTATTTTCAAGGCGTTGACCAGTGGGGCCAAATACCTTTACCACGAACTGAAGACTCTCTGCACGATCGAGCCCCATGAGAACGTCATCAGGCGACCAATGCATGTTGTCATGAAGAGGTGTAATTTCGGCTTCAAGAAGGCTGTTGCTGGTTTTACTACGTTTTATCACGCTAAGGGTACCCTTCGAGATGTCCTACCCAGTCTGCAAGCCCATGGCCAATTGCAACGCGTCGACCAGTTGAAGTGGTCGATACAGTTGACCAAGGCTCTTGAACATTTAAAAACTCGCTCTAGGACATACTATCCCGATTTACGTCTGGACAATATCGTACTATCAGAAAAGTCCGACGTCATTATGGTCGATTTTGAACAGAGAGGAGTCTGGTGCGAGTTTGCGGCCCCGGAGGTTAACGCTATCGAATACATCCGTCTACTCGCAACCGACGAGTGTGTACCCGAATCCGTGAGTGAGAAATATCGGAAGATAATGCAGGAATTAGTCCCTGAATTCGAAGAGTTGGGAGGCGAGAAATATACCAACCCAGAATGTGGATTCAACATATCATGGATTGCCCTCAGCGAGACAGAGCAAGAAGCAGCTGAAGTATACATGCTTGGGAGAGTGTTGTGGTGCATCTTTGAAGGAGTCAGTGGTCCTCAGAAAGCAGCCGTGTGGCAGTCGTACAGATGGGAGCCCGAACTTGAGTTTCCCGAGTACCGGAAGACCCCTCCCGCAATGAGAATTCTAATAGACAAATGTACAAGGGGCAGGCGAGAGGCGCTTGGCAACATCATTATAAGGCGAAACAGTCAGCTTCTTCTAACCACTAAGCCTCCCAGTGAGCAGACTGCCGACGAGGTTAAGCAGACTGCGAAGCGTTTCTGGTCGACCGAAATCGAAGTGGCGGAAAAGTACCTAGAACTTAGAAGTTCTCAACGTCGCAAAGGAGAGTGGAACGACAACTACTATGAGCGCCCAACCTTAGCCCAAGTCTTAGAAGACCTAGTGGCGTTCCAGAACGGAGTCGCTTGAGGCTATGCAGCCATACAAGGGGGAATACCTAAAGAACCTGGTCATCACTTTGAGACGAGTATCTCACTCACATTCATTTTGGTAACAGTCAGCATCAATACATGATATGCTTCCAAATAGCTTTTAGCATACCTTAAGCATGTAGCCATGAAGGAGCCTCTACTGACTTATCTAGAGCGAAAACACCCAACGAATGTATTTAGGACCGTGCCATAATATAGAGTACCTAAGAGGCCGCTGCCAAAAGCAAGCATAGAACCTAACTTAATAGACAAACATTAGCTAGCATAGCTGAAATGTCTCTATTTTCGTCTAACTGGTCACAGGGTCATGATTAGGACCTCGAATCTATTGAGTCCCCCAAGAACCCCCTTTTGGACCTCGAGATCTCAAAGCAAACGCTGCTAGTTCAAGTAGTCATTCTTCATGTTGCACCAAGTTTTTACAGATTACCTTACCGCTTGTCTTGAGGAGAATCTTAACCTCTACTCCAGCTCATCACTAACGACGCTACTGTTAAATGACCTAGCCTATACTATACTCGTTTGTAGTTACGAGGCTATGTCGAAGAATTATGAGCCGTTCGGCCAGTGTATGATCCTCATCCCTTCCCGACTTACCCGCTAGGCAGACTCCCTAAGGAGAACACAGGTAAACCCTATGCCAACCCTTGTATCATAGACGCCTATCGTTGCCCGTGACCTTTCCGAACAGTCATGGCCAAATTTGCTCCAATGGCCCGGTAACCAATTGGTTTCCACCAAGCATAACCGGTATATCTCGAACCTCCTAGAGTGTTATACCGAGACCAGAGGAACGCTGGCTCGATACTTCGCCACGGAAGGGGTTCAGCGTGGGGTAAGGGATGCCATTAGTAGCGAAACTGAAGTCTTGTGTCTGGAAAGAAGTCTGGAAGGACTCTAGAACTGGGATGCTAGCGCTTGGATAAAGGAAGGGTTGGCCACCCCTGGCCATCTACTACCCTGATAGAAGGACATAGGAAGCAATTTCCACCGTCTCAAGTCCTAACCCTAACACTACTAGCAGCTTCTCGACTATGCAGCCACGACTACCCCTATCGACAACTGGCCAAAGTGGCAAACTGTTGAGAGAAAAGGGGAGCAAATAGAAGCGGCGCAGCGGTCCACGATTGCAGTAGTATCGTCCCACAACTTCATTACCTAGGGACTATAAGGCCCTCTTAGAAGTGTCCAATGGGATCCAAGATCGAAGACTTCGGGGGAGGCAGAGCATCGTATGTCCATTCCACCGAGATGACAATCAGGTGCTTGCATCATCACCTTGGTGCTTAGCTACTCGTCTGCAGCAGTACTCCATGTTCATGCATTACTGCAACGAAGCCGGTATTCGCTGTGAGGCTATACAGCGAAGCAAGCTATGTGTGAAGTTTGTCGGACCGAGCTATTTCGTTAGGAGCTAAGTTGTATTCCGAATGCTTACAGGTGCGCCGGATGTTTATGCCGGGTCGAAATTCCATACCGGAATAGGCAATACAGGCATCCGGGGTAGTTCGGGAATATCCTAGGTAAATGGGATGGCTCGATTTTCGACCCAATAATGCGCAAGGGCGATGGAATTTCAACAATTCGAGACGACCTTGGCCGGTCAAAAACACAAGACAATTTGGCGCTGGAGTCCTCAATTTTGGGGTTTTCTCTCTCTCGAAGAATAAATTGAAACTAAAGGCCCATATGAAAAAGGGAGTGTGTTGCAAGAAGCCTCGTTGGCCGCCTAATGGGCCGACCTTCGCTGGAGACTTTTTATGGCTTTTATGAGGTGGTCGCGCCAAGAGGCGGCCTAGCACCGAGGCTTCGCGGCCCAAATCGCGACCCAAATTACACGACGAACCTCTAATATGAACGGAGGTCGCATTCAAGGCCCCGGCCGTGCTTTATATGCTAGCCCACAACTACGGATCCGTACTACCTTTCTCCTCCAAGGCAGAAAAGTGCAGAAAAGTCAAGGTAAAAAATAGAATAAAATACCGCTCCGATGACTCCGTTCGGCTTCTTTGCCAATCATGACCCCGGTCGTTCCTTGTGGCTGATGAACGCCATTTCGTCTACCACCTACGTATGTAATGTATGTACAGGGTAAGATCGTGCATACTATAGTAACGTGCTATTATGTATGTAGTATAGGTTTCTTTCTACGTCGTCAGCAATACCTAATGTCACGAGGTGAGATTCGGCATCGCCAGTCCTATCCATTCCCTCGGGTCTAGTGATTACTCGATCTAGATATTAACTGCACATCATACAATGTCGTTTCAGCTGCAACGTCCCTTTTGAGTTGTTCATTTGCCCGTTTCGACCCGTGGCTGGAGATTCTGCTTCTTTCCCCCACACCTCCTTTTCCCCTTACTCCTGGTTTGCCATTTGCCAGTTTATCAGTTTGCTCTCAACTCACACCGAATAGGTAAATTATGATTGTACCTTGAACCAACGTAGACCAAGCGGTCTCGATGTTGGGCCGCTTTTGTCATAATGTCGGACATTTTGGGACTTGGCCTGGTCTGTCTGCCTGTTTCCTACGGCTGGCTATGTATGTTATATAACCAACCTTCTTCGTCCGTTTCAATATGCGTGCAATGAATCCTTCGGCATCTACTTTGTTTCATCTCAACAAGCTTCCTTCCTATCACTTACCTATGTCCCCCCCAACGGAGCGTTTCAGGACGCTTTCACTCGGAAGCATGCCGCCAGTAACTCGTCTTCAGAGCCGGAAGCAGAGAGTCGAGGTGGAAGACTCGAGCTCCGAGTCAGATACCGAACGGGATTTCGATATCGACGATGACGGCTTCATGGTTTCTCCATCTAATCTCAGGTACTCGCTGCATCTTCTCGACGAAGAGACGCGGGACAACGTCAATAAAGCTATAGAGGTGCCCCCGCAGTTCACTTTACGTGGCTGCCAGGCTGGGGACGAGCGCTGCCTCTTCTTGATAACGGAGCCGGCCGAGTATACCGTTCGGACTGGCTCGGAACAGAGCGGTTACGGCATTCCAAGCTGTACCTGCCAGAACGGCGAGCGCGGCGAATCCCCATGTCGGCATATCCTCTGGCTGTTAGACCAGATTACTAACCAGGTCCTGGGCGTCCAGAGGAGCCCCTTTTCACTAACAAAGTACGGGTACCCAGCAGAGCTTGGAAACCCTTACGATGAAATATCGGAGTTCCACCTGGACATGCTGGCCGACAGCCTGCACTGCGACGTCGTCGGCCAGTCCCCCGATCCCAACCCCAGACGGGTCCGGGAGACGCGGGAGATACTCGCCTCGCTCAACGAGGTCCCTACCGACGAGTACCGACCGGACCTCTTCAACAACCCGCGCAAAGGCCGGCGCGTCATCAAGAGAGGCGACCTCGAGCAGACCATCTTCCGCATGCTGCTCCGCAACGACGACTTCTTCCAGTACTTCCTCTCTTCCATGCGCGCCGACGAGATGCACTCGAACCAGTTCCGCTCGCTGCAGCTCCGCGCCGACGCTGCGCTCGCGGGGCTCCGGCAGTACGCGGATACTATTACTACTACTGCTGCTGCTGCTGCTACTATTCCTACCCCCGAGCAGAACGGCGCGCGTCCCAAGGACGTCAAGTGGTGCGCCGCGCACCTGACCCGCGTAACGCGGCAGATCCACAGCATAATCCACAACACGGAGCGGCCGCTCTCGCGCTGGGAGCTGCGGGCCGCGGCGCGCGCAGCCGTGCACATCCTCAGCAGCGTCGTGGACTGGGATGACGACCGGGACGTGGGGCCGCCGACCGTCGTTCCCCGCGCGGAGCGCAATCTGTTCTTCCGGCTGATCGGTGGTGAGGACGGGAACGGGAACGGGAACTTCGTCGTGGACATCCTGGCTTCGATCCCGCCGGAGGTGCTGGGGCCTTGGGTGGACGAGCTGACGGATCTGCAGAGGAGGATTGCGGAGAGGGGGGCGCCGGTTGCGTATAACGCGAGGTTGGGCTCGCTTGTTAGTCATTTGAGGGCTCGGTGGACGGCGGGGAGGGAGGGGGTGGAGGGAGGGAGTGGGAGTGGGAGTGGGAGTGGGGGGTCGAAGAGGATGGGGATGGGCCAGGGGTTGGGTGGGAGTGCGAAGAGGGTGAGGTGAGCTAGCTGGCTGGCTGGCTGGCTGGCTATATCACTCTACGAGCTTGTTCTCTCTCGCTTCTAATGCGGAGCTGGAGAAAATAGTAGGTACCTATTCAGTCCGGGAACAGGCTTTCCCGCCACTGGAACTACCCTACTCTACTCTACCCTACTCTACTCTACCGACGGACACATGCGAACTATAAGATATATCTGGTGCGGACCAATCTCCATTCCCTCCCTCCCCTTTCAGGAAAAGGGGCAGGTTCTAATTTTCTAATCTTTGTGTCTACCTATCCCGAGCTGCGCTGGGATGGATATCTTGGTTTTGGTTTTGGTTTTGGTTTTTGGTTTTAGGAGGCTGTGGCTACAGGTTACGTTATGATTTTTAAAGACTAAGACTACTACTGGATAGATGGGGGTTTTCTCGCGATTCATATTTAGTTAGGCTAGGGAGGCAGTTAGATAGCGTAGGTTAGGTAGCTAGGCAGGTAGGCATGTATAGATTACTACTACTACAACATATAAAATTACTTATAAAGCAGGCTTTTGGCGATGAATCCTTGGGTCTTGATATGATATTATGATACGTGACTAGGTACCTAAGGGAGGTAGGTAGATAACTAACCAATCTACTAGGATTTAAGCACGAGACTATTAGTGAAGATCGACTACTACGGTTGGCTCCATCTTGGTTTCTCTTGCGATGCCGTCTCCTTTTCTTCTTCCCTCTCGTCTTATCTCTATTGCGCTTTGCTTTCCCCTGAATTACATAGGTTAGGTTAGGTTAGGTACCTACTTACTACAACGACCGCTTGTCTGACCTACCTACCCGGTATCTTACTTTAGGAGACGGGTAAGTAGATCATCCAATCTAATATACCATATACAATCGCGACATAACTTAACCAAGCTACCTACCGAAATCATACCTATCGTTAATCCTTAGGTATCTATCAGGCCCGTTGGCGTTTCGCCCATCTCATCTCATCACATCTTACTTACACCCTACCCCAAATCCGGCCCGGCATCCGACCCGACCCAGCCCAGCCCAGCCCGGCCTACCAACCGGCCAGCCGGCGTCCTCCGAATTTCGCGGTGTACCCGACCTGCACACATTGCTCCCTCCCTCCCTCCATCTATTTTTTTTTTCCGTTAGGTCTTATCTGCCGTATTTCATTTTATTTATGCCGCCTCATCATTTCGCCCCACCCGCCCGTCCTATGTATTGCCTACCGACCATTTCCTTTCGTTGGCGATTTAGTTTGGTCGGCGCAGAGCGACGGACATTCCCAACTAACTAAATTGCGAGTCTTCATTATCTGCTCGGGGTCCCCACGCGAGGTCGCCGGAGCGTCGCATAATGAATGAGGGGGAATATCAGACGACCCGTCGCTCGAAACAAGTGTGTACTTAAGAGAAATAAAACTTACGAAAAGTAAGTACCTGTTTCATGTAGATAAAAAAAAAAAGTGCGGTACGATGTCATATCATGCTTAAATATCGTCTGGTATGTCTCGGGGTATATCCAACGCTACCTGCTTCATATATACACGTAGGTTATGCAAGTAATATGTACCTACATATAACGCAACTCGACGTGACATGGCCACAGACCAAAAGCCCCAAGTCATAGGCCAATCCGCCAAAGTACCCTTCCCTTTCCTCTTCATTTCTTTATCCTCTCTATAATAAGCCAATCGCTTTAAATGACTCGATGATATATCTCCCTAATTTTCCCATTCGTAATCCTAACATTTTACTGAAACCAATCCTCATTATACGTACGTATCCTTACGCGCAGCCATAACTACCCAATAATATAATCCTCAAACTGTGACGCCAATATCATGGCCTCCAGCGGCCTCGACCTCGTCTCTCGCGCGCACGTTCGCGATGGCGCTCTGCAGCGCGCTCGTCAGGTCGACGTGGAATAGCGGCCGATTAAGCCCGTGTACGGCGACCTTTCTAGTCTCGGTATTCCTAGTGAAAACAGGCGTCTTGTTCTTCGGGAGCGCAGACTGCGTTATGCTAGAAGCAGTGCTGGGTCCGGGAGTGTCCTGGTGGATCGATGGGTCTACTGACTCCGACTTGCTGAGAGTCAGTCGTATTTGAGTCTCCTTCTCAATGGCCTCCTGCTCTGCGGCGGCTGCAGCAGAATCTGAGCCGCCGATCTCGGCGACGCTGAAGATGGACTTCCACCGCGAGTGTAGGCCGTCCGGGCGCGGGGTCGGGTAGCCGAAGCCGGCGGAGACGAGTCCCCTCTTCGTCCATCGGTTGTTGATGCAGGCGAAGTGAACGTCTACTACGTCTGGTGCTGTGTAACGGTCTAATTGATTGCGTACGTCGATTAACTGCTGTACCGACGTTACGTCGACGTTATTGACCGAGCTGAAGTCGAAGATTATAGCCTTCAATGTCGGTAACGCGGTGTTCTCTTCTCGACCCTTCTTCGGGCCCGGATCATTCCATGGACGGTCGCCAACGCGCGCAAACGTGTCTGTTCTAGTACGGCGTGTATTGGCGAAGATGTGGCTTGTAAGGTAGTCTAAAGTGTGACTTGCGCTTGGGTAATTGAACCCTTCGGAAAATCGGTAAATAAAAATACCAGGATAGGGGCTAGAGACCTCGACTTCTGGGTTTGAGCCGTCCTCGTGATCAATTGGGAGGAAAACATTGCGTGTAGGCGGGGAAAGACTAGAGTCCAAAGCATCAAAAGTCCCATACTCGCCCATCACGTTGCTATCATTGCCGATGAGGTGGTCGCCTAGTACGGAGTGTACTTGAATCCTGCCGAGGAACCTACCGCGGGATTTAAGGACACGGAACATAAAGATCGCGAACGAGATAATTATAGTGGCGTAGATTCCGTTCTCGATCGTTGAAAATACTGTAACGAATACACCGACGAAGAAGATGAGGACTTCGAGAGGTGATATTCTCCAAAACTTGTAAAGCGTATTAGGTGGCGTTATAAGATCTCCGACGGCGTGGATAATAACGGCGGCGAGAGCTGCGGATGGGATGTAAAAGAAAACAGCCGTAAGTGCATAAATAGCTAGGAGTACCACAGCGGCCGTGATAACACCCGCAAAGGGAGTCCGGACACCTGCTTTTGATTTGATAGCTGTGCGACTGAAAGAACCTGTTGACGGGAATCCTCCGAGAAAGGGTGCGAGGACGTTAGTAACACCGATGGCAACCATCTCTTGCGACGGGTTTATAGTGTAGTTGTTGACGCGGCCGAAAGATTTCGAAATGGCGATATGCTCGATGAGTAGAACAATGACCGTTGCGGGTAGTTCACCAATAAACGAGTTGATTATGTCTGAATTGATAGTTGGAACGGCGGCGTGCTGAAACCCCCGAGGGACATCCTTAAGAATTGCAAAGGCAGGGTTGTCGCGGCGGTTCATATTGACCAACCAACTAATCATGGTATATAATAATATGACGAAGACTGCTCTTAGCGTCGAGAGGAAGAAGAACAGCTTGTGATGATTGGGGAACTTCTTTGCCGCCCAGGCGCATGAAAACCGGATTCCGTAGAGCACCGCGAGCGCCGTTAAACCCATAGCCGCATTCAAATCCGTCTTGCCTAGGTTCTTTAAGGTGTTAATAATGACCAAATACGTCGAATCCCTCGTCGAGAAGCCAGTGATGCCCATAAGCGTAGGAACCTGCCCTGCGGCGATGTTGATAGCGGATCCGGTCATGAAAGCAGCAAGTGATACTAAAGGTATCAGCTCAACGATCCATCCACACCGGATTAAACCGATGAAAAGCACGATTGCGCCGGATATGAGAGCAAGGGCGCTCGCGATGACCCATGGTTCATCTTCGTATTGAGGAAGTTCCTCGATGGCTTTGGCGACGACAGACCCGGTGACAGTGGAGACGACGGCAACAGGCTTTAATAAGTTAGCGAGAGGACCATTTTAACGAAGGGCTCTACCTTGACGTACTCCTATAGTAATATCTTTGGAAGTAGCAAAAAACCAGTAGATAAGAACGCCCATGAAGGACGAATATAGACCAAATTGCACGGGTAGGTTAGCCAGCTTGGCGTAGGCCATTCCTTGTGGCACGACGACTGCACCAATGGTTATTCCTAATAAGAAGTTAGTTATACTCCAGTTATAACCCGGTTGACAAAACACGTACCTGCAACGAGATCGCCCACAAACCATTGTAAGTTGTAAAACCCGATCCAAGATAAAAAGGGGAACAATGACTTGAAATAATTTAGTATATCCTGTCCCGACGGCGTAATTTCTGCGAGCCACTCTGCGCTTGTTGGTTGCTGCTCGACAAAACTGTCTGCTGTATGCGTCGAGAAAACCGATTCTCCTCGAGTTACATTGTCCGTATCGGGGTCTTCGAGTTTGATCCCTAAGACCTTTGCTAGCGTTTGGCTAGCTTTCGTCGACGAAGACATCGTGGGGCTATTAGGTGAGGGTAGAATTAAGATATAAGAGGCAACAAGCCTTAATGACAATCGGAAGTATATATAATGAACTTTGTAACTGGAATGAAGTACGGAGCGTCCCTATGTAAAGTGGACACTACCTGGTTCGAAGAGACGAGGGTTGCGCCTGGAGAGGAGTAGGTCTGTATACCTGCAAGGGGTAGCAGGGCAACTTCAACTTCAACGCCGAGGGTGTGTGTTTGACACCACTAAGTTGAACGTGGGTTAAACAAACCCAGCTCCAAAGTATGGCTATGAAGAACCACAGGCAGCCATCGGAATGAAGTTTGATAGAAGTGGTTCGTAAGACCGGCTTGAGAATATAAAGTATTGTTAAAAGAGGCCACAGATGGTAGTTAGTTAATAAACAAGGAGTCTTTAGATTACCGCAGAGGAAAAGGTGGGTTTGGTAAATGGGTAGTCCACAATAAAGTAATGGGTTGATATCTGTTCTTAGGAGTTACACCGAGGGGATTACGAGGCTTCGGTAAAGACAATAACTATAAATAATTCGGCTGGGGTGTTCTCAGTTTGCCTTACACAGGGTCTCACTGTAGGTAACGTCGACTGCGTTTTAGTTGTTAGACAAGAGCCTGTGTATTCCGTAGTCCATAATGAGAGGTGAAATTTTATTATTCAAGTAGGCCGAGCTCGATGCTGGCTGAGTTTGTAGTACGTAGTCTCAGTGGGTATATACGTCGTCTCAGTGGGTACTCGAGATCTTAGACTATCGTCGTAGGGGAACTACCTAAGGGGAACTAGGTAGTGGAGTGGATCGGACCGTGGCCTCGGCAGATGAATAGTCTTAAGATAGTCTTAAGATTTCCGAAAAGATAATACCATTGTTCAGACTGAAAAGCTTCGGTGAGCCACAGTAAAAGAATAATCGTGGCAGTGAGGTAATAAGTAATTGGATCACGACGTTGCTACTATGTATGTAGTTTACAGTCGCTGTTGAAGTTTTGCCAGTAGCTCCGGATTGGCTGATCACTCGGTGGCGTAATCGGCTTTACGTATACCATTCGAAGTCTAGCGGGAATATTCCGTATTTGGAAACAGCAGAGTACGCAATACGGTTTCCACTCTCTATTTGAAAGCAACGGAGCAAAGGGATGAGCCCGAACACCGACTTTTACATAGTACATACCTCACTGCACCTGATATTCGATGGTGCTGACTCCATTTTCTGATGGAACCTTGAGCGCAGCGTATTCGGCAGTTAAACACGGTACGAATTTACAATATATGATCTTGTAATGGAGTTGAATGACAAGATCAGCTGTGACAAGATGAAGTTGGAGACCCAGATAAATGTACCCAATTCGGCGAAAAACTAACTAAAACAACCAATCATAGAGCTTAGTTAAATATAAAGATATGCTTAGCGTCGATGGCGCAATTTTGTCTTTGATTGATGCCATCATTATAAATAAAAATAACTACGGGAAACCCCATAGTTACTGATCGAAAACATGGGGAAGTTTATCTCTAGGTTAATATCTTATGTCCTAATAGATTAGATGGGTGTTGATCCGATGCCGGTTTCGCTGTAAAAGTAGGTATACATATCTGTAAGAACAACTATAAAATGGGCAGAAGCCGACCTGCAAACACATCGTGTTTATATCAACATATTTATTGACTGTCTTTCAGGGACCAGACTTGTGAGAGTGCTTTGCAAGTAAGGGGTCTCTCTTAACTAGCAGTAGTAGTTAATATTAAGTCAGGTGTTCATCATGGAGTTATTAAGCTTTAAAATGCTACGTGTTTTATACGGAAAGCAACCATAATGATGAAATCTGTTATGATAGGTGGTGAGTAGATAGAATACAACTATTGGTCAATCTTGAATACAAGTAGTCTCAACAATGGTGAGGCCGTCTTTTGATCATGCAAAAGCCAATATCCATGTAAATCCCAAGTCTCGGAGAGGTAATCATGAACTAAGCTTCGGCTTCCCGGATGCAGATAATACACCATGCAGAATGATCGTACCTGCAGGCTTCACGGTCCATAATCTACGGGGAAATCTTGACCAATCCTAGTAGCGGTGGATCGGTCAAAGGTTGCCGACCTGACGCTACCGTAACCTTGCCTGCCTTACCTTAGGCGTTGGACATCAATGTAAGCTTTTCACATGCTGATCTACTATGTAGTATCGGTGGATGTTGTACAATATAGGTGGTACTATGTAATGCAGACATGAACTGCAGCATTGGAAATAATAACCAGAATTGATAAAATGCATTACTTACCTACCTACCTCTTCATATTAGAACTTGAGATAATTATGTCGTCTTTACAGAAGAATAAGAGGTATTTATAGAGATGGTATATTTATATAATAGGTATACTTTAGGTATATAGGTATTTAGCTAAATAAATAAGCTTTTTAGGTCGACGCGTTCTGCTCGCGTTAAAATCTGGTGAATATGAGGGTTACACCTATTATTAGGTCACTAGTCACTACATATGTTGTACCCAAGTACCTCAAGCCCTCTCTAAACAACATTGAACTCCAACCTCTTTCCCTGCCCTGCTTTTTATTTTATTTTTTTACTGCGCATAGTCGTCGCACCACAACTATACAAGGTGGTGAGCATGCTTTTTCCTCGATACCGACGATAGCTTCAATTTGCGTGTTGTCGCAAATCCATATAGTTGCCACTGTCGCCAGTTGGCCAAAATGACGAGCCCAACGCGGGAGTCATTCCCACCCATCGCGCAAGCTTTCAACACCTTCACGGCCACCACGCTCCCTAACCAAATACACTCCCCGCCGTCACCTCACACTCATAGATTGCGCAAGCTACAATCCGCACATAACCTCGGTGCCGCTGCCCGAATTTCCAGTCAAAACTCGTTGATATCCCAACAGGTTCTCCGACATCCCCAAGGACATCCCCAAGAGAGCGTACCACCTCTGACTCGCAATGCCAACAACCGATCCCCACAGAGAAACAGAGCCAACTCAGACGCGACGCCCCCGCCACCCCTGCCACCCCCGACGCCTTCTATATTTCCAAACAATCTTTTACTATCCTTAAACCACAAGAGAAGCGCTCTAAGTAAGGCTTCAAGAGTAGCTGATGCTATGTCTCTAGACAGACTGATTAGGGAGGGGCCCCCTGATGGAGATGTGAATGGTGCATTAGAGAGTGCGCGTCTTAAGGTCTTAGATCAGGGTATCAGGAGCGACGGCGATGGAATGGTGCGAATTTCTTGATACTGATTCAATGTTCCAATATCGACCGTGCTAATAAAGGATGCTTAGTCGCGGACTAGAATCTACTTCTGGCTTATATTTATCGATGCGCCCATTCTTGATACTGACGAGTACCTCGGGCTCATACATCGAGGCGCTTCTCCCGCTTACTCCAAAATCCGAAACGACACATTTCGAACCCTGACTACCGATCCCCTTTTCCGTCGCCGCGTTAGCGAGGCCAGTTTGATTCGTCTTCTTAACGCTATCGCTTGGAAGCTTCACGATGCGAAGGAAGAACGTCGCCCAACAAGTAGCAGATTGTCTCTCGCCGCGACCGAAAGCGCTGGTAGCTCTCGCAGCGATATCTCGCAAACTGATGCCTCTTCACCGTCTGCTAGGAACCGTGCCCGCGCCCTTACGCTCACGACGGAAGGTTCCGATGCTACTACCTCGGAACCCGGGACTTACGTACAGGGCATGAACGTGCTTGCTGCTCCGTTCCTATATGCAGCCCGCAGCGAGGTGGAAGCTTTCGCTGCTTTCCATACGCTCCTAACCAAGGAGTGTCCTGGGTACATTAGAGGTGCAATGGACGGGGTTCATCGCGGTCTGGCACTCGTTGACAAAGTATTGGCCATCGTGGATCCTAAGCTGAGTTTCTACTTAACATCCAAGGGTTTATCAGCAGAGATTTATGCATTCCCCTCTGTTCTTACGCTCTGCGCATGTACTCCCCCTTTACCAGAGGTACTGAAGCACTGGGATTTCCTCTTCGCCTACGGGCCGCAGTTGAACATCGTGTGTATTGTTGCCCAGCTAATCATGATGCGCAATGAACTCCTCACCTCTTTGAAGTAAGCATACACACCTACGACTACTGAATGTTAGGGTATTGGATTACCATACTAACAAGTAAATAGTCCTAACAAACTCCTTCGATCATTCCCGGCTTTACGGGCAGAAATGATCAAGCGAACAGCTCTGGCTATTATTAGGATGATACCCGACGATATCTATGCTGATATCATACGACACGCTCTATAGCATACCCCTTCTCAATAAGTGACGCGGCATGGTTCTCTACGAGTTACGCTCATATGACCCAGGTTTTAGTATTGGATCATACATACATACATACATACATCTTTGTAATAACGACTCCAACCGTCGACAATCGTTTCAAAGTCAACTAATTGCGAGATCTCGGCAATAATGACACCACCCTGGAGGCCGAGATCTTCAGCGGATCGGGTTCCTTTTGTCAAGAGGCACTTATACGATAAGACAGGCCCTTGCATATAGATTTCTCCAAACAAAAGGCTTATTCTCTACAACGGGCGGTGCAAAAAGGGGATAGCTTTTTTTCTTTTTCTTTCTTCGATTTTATGTCTTTTTTCATTTTTACTTCTGTACGGTACGGTTACTAGACGACATGCACGACGACCGGGGAAGAAGCGAATGCAAAACAAAAGGCCAAGGGGGCTGGCTAGCTCACGATGACGCGAATGACATTTACGAAACGAATATCTCTTATGTTTTTGTACAAGTATGGGGCAGCAGGCAGCAGGGCAGGTATTATGGTATTCTATACGTCCTATATATTTATACATATTAGGTACCGTAAAGAGGGACGGTTATGGGTCTTAACGCGGAAATGAACGATGACGGAGGGATGGTAGGACGGTAGGATGGATGGATAGGGGGATATTATATTATATACCGTAATAGGCAGGCGCGCCGTCGTGCGCTGGCTGCTGTGAATGAACCGTGGGAAATGAATGAAAGTTATGATTGGAATGTTTGTTAAGTATACCTAGTAAGTAAGTACGTAGGTACGTATAGTATAAGTGGTTAGGTGTCTGATTTGCGGCGATATGAAATGGGATTGTTACTTGGTATGTACCTTGGATTTGAACTTGAAGTCTTGAGTCTGGGGGATATAGTTAATGGCTTTGGTGATAGGGGTATTATACATAGGTAGGTAGTAAGAGTTACCTGGTAGTTTTTTTTTTTTTTTTTTTTGTCTGCTTTGGTTGCGTGGCGCAGGAATCTAGGACTAGGACTTGATAATTAAGTCTGCATTGCTCTTGGGTGAGTATATAGGTAATGTAATGATAAGGGATATCGAAAGATTTAATCCCTTCCGTAGCTGGCGCGCAGCGGTATGTAGTAGTATTGAGTCTACGCTGCTTTCTTTCTCCCTTGGGCAACTGGCATAAGTAGATAGGTAGGTAGGTAGGTAGGAATACATCTCCCTACATACTTCAACCCGAGCCCTTCGCTCGAGGGGCTCGTGAAGAAAGACTACACGGACAGGGCGGATGAGTATGTACTACGATATATCGGCATCAGATTCCATTGAAATACGATTCCATTGGAATACTGTCGTCTAGAATCCATATGTATCAATAGGCGGGATAGTCGCGAAGAGAGCTCTAAGATACTGAATAATGATGTATATATATAGTTGATGCATATACAAAGTCCGCTCATCCAACATTTTGGAATAACCTCATACTCTTGCTTTTACATCTACCTCTACTACACCTCTATTCTACCTCTACCTCTACCTCTAGATCCCGGCGTCTTCTCTACCGCTACTATACCATCTATTATCGATTCGCTTGCGTACCTCGTAACCCGTATACGACTTCGCTTACTATTATATTATATACCTCCTTCACAATAACTAACCCACTATGCTCGCTTTTTCGCTCCTGTTACTTTGCTGCGGCCTCCTGGTCTCGGCACAAGAGAAACATGCCGGTATCTCCGTCGTGCAGCATCACAAGAGGGAGACGGGAACCTGCGAGCAGACCTATGGCGAAGGCTCGCAGTCGTGCGGCGGCAGCGGAAGCACCTTTTGCTTCAACCCTAAAATCGGCCAGGTAGAAAAGAAACTCGTGTATCGTCCTTGAAAAAACAAATGCTAACTCGGAATAGTCGTGCTGCTCAACAGACAACGGATTTTGCGACTCGGGAAAGTACTGCGCGCCTGTCGCAGGTTATTGCTGTCTTGAAGTACGAAGCCGAACGGTCTTGATCGATTAAGCGCCATTTAGCTAACAACGTGTAGGGAGAGGATTTAGAGACGTGCGCGCGTAATGCCGGTTTTATACTTCCTGGTTCCGCTTCGAATATGTCCGCGGGTCCCTATGCGGTGACCAATGCAACAACTGTTGCCGGTCCTACGTTAACAATCCTTCCCTTCCTCAAAGAATCGCCAGCACCGACACCAACGATAGTAGATTTTCGAAACAACTCATGTTCATTCGCTACCCATGCCAACTTGAACACGCCTGTACCTGTACCAACCCTTACATCGCACACGAACGCAACGGCCTCACCACCCGTGCAGGTCTCTTCGGCCGTGAAACGAGCCGAAACTTCGACGGGATTAGTGGCACTACTTAGTTTGATGACCATTTTTGTTGTTGTTCTTTTGGATCTGGTTACCGGTCTTAGGTAGATTCAGGGCGGAATGTACTTTTATCAGAAGAAAATCTTGATGGCTATTGTAATTGTCTAGACGCTCGGGCGCAACTATGAAGACATATGGTTGGGGGGTCCATGAAGTTGCGCGGCCCATTGTAGATAACTACCTGACATCTTGGTATCGGTTGAAGGGTCCTGGCTAATAGGTCGGGCAGCCTTCTTGTGCTCGCTGAAAGGCGCCAGAGAAGAATTCTTGCATAGCGACATAATGATAAAGAATCCCACCAAGTACGGCAAGCTACATCCTTAATTAGTGCCAACGCAATCAAAAGGGGTACCATTAATACTTACATGCCATAGGTTGTGCGCATTACCACAGTAGTCAAACGCGCCAGGGAACCATCGCTCGGGGACTTTGCTCGCGTAGACACAAGCTCCAAGGACATAAACGAAGAGAGACTTGAGTAGATTGGAACCCGCATAAAAGTCAAGTGCCCAAGCAGGGCCTCGAGTCAGAACGATCTGGAAAACCGGCATAAAACCAGTGGCACCCAATCCCACAAAGAAGCCCACCCTCCACCAGGCCATATCCTGTCCATTAAACTTAGGATGCCAAGGGAGGATGGTGCCAGCAATGCCTAGCACAGCAGTTGTGGTCATGTACGTCCACCGACTAATCGGTTCACAATAAAAGGCGGTATACTCGGTTGTCATAATCGACGCCGCGATGAGTAATGAGATACCAGTGTAGTCGATGCATGCGAAGCGTTCCAATAGAGTTTGGTCTGCAACACAGTTCATAGTGTGCCAAATGGTGCTGCAGACCAAACATTTGCAAGCTGCGAAAAAGAAGACGGCGGCAATAAAAACATCCGTTTTCGAGTAAAGGGAGAAGTTGGCCGAAGTCGGATAGAAGTAAAAAGCGATGGACAGAATTAGGATCAAACCAAGCGCATGAGACCAAATGTTGACCAGTTCGTTTGAAATGCCGAACATTGAGCGAACGCAGCCAATCTTGGATTCGGTGAAACGATAGCCGCTAAGTATATGAGGATTGACCCTCCAAGGGATAGGAAGTTCCTCATACTTAATAAGGCCCTTTTCCTTAGCACGAGTAATTGCTCTTTGTACGTGCTCCTCGACAGTCTCTGCAGCACGCCAGGCTCGCTCAATACCATCGTCCATAACACCGCGAGCGCGTTCTATACTTTCGTCTACGACCCGGTGGCCTTTGTCTATTAAACTTCCGGCAGCGTCGGCCGCATTCGCAAAGCCTTGGTCGCGGAATTTCAAGGCTCGGGTTTCGAAGTCGGTAAGCATGCCGTCGAGGAGTTCAACGCCAACACGCGCTTTCTCATTCATGGACTCGGCGGCTACTAAGGCCTCGTGATATCTTGTGTCTAAAGTCTCAACCATAACCTGTAATCGCCGTCGCCCAGCACCAATGACCTCTTCCGAGACTTGCGAACATCGTTCACGCACTGCTTGTAGGGTTGAAAACGTTTTAGATATGCTCGAATCCAGGTCGATAAATTCGCCGTAGCTCTCAAGGTATTCAAGTCTCCTCTCTAGTTCCGAGAGGAACAAATCCACCTTTATTAGCTAGTTAGTATAATTGCCACTTAAGTCTCAAAGCGTTTAGGTAATGTACTTTAAGAAGTAAGCCTTCTTCTCCCTCCATGATTTGCTGAACTAGAGAATGTCTTCTCCGAGGCATAAAAGAAGAGTGCCGCCTGCGTCGACGTGGTAAGTTTTCCTGGTCGGCCGTACCCGAACTTTTGGAACTAGATTGCTCTTGGCGAGAACCAAGAGCGAAGGTAGACGTGCAAGACATGATGGGAAAAGGAGTGTATGATAAACTATAGTAAATGTAAGGTAATGTTGTTGGTGCCAACTAATAAAAAGGCTTGGGGCACGTCTAAGCTGTCAGACGTCCCTGCATGAGACAGTTTATTGCGAGTTAAACGATGCGAAGCTGACCAGTTAAAGCGTAAGAATGCAGAATACTTTGAGGAGATTGGTCTTGAGGTTGTTATTTGATGTGTAGCTGTGCAATGGCAAAAGGCGCTGGAGGCGAAGTGGAGGAAAGATGGCTTTCACATGTGGAAGATTGTTGGTGTCATTGGTTGAGGGAGGGGAGTGTCACCCTGAGCGCGCGCAAACTATCGGACAGGACGGAGTTAGCTTAGATGCTTAGATAAGATCTAAAATCAATACCTCATGCAAGGGTAAATTAAGGTTCCCCACAATCGGGATCCCGTAGGTCGGTTGGGAAGTACCGAATACAATAAAGGTTAGTCAATTTGAAGAGAAGGCATTGACCACCTAACTACTTTGAATCATGTGCAATAATTATAGCTGTCGTTCTTTCTGTACCTAGGTATATATTGTAGCAATGTCTGTATCCTCTTCAAAAATGAAGCTATAGTCATAATTAAATTTAATTATGAACCTAGACTCGTTGTACATGTACGAGCTGATAGAACTGTGTTTCAGCCCCGAAACTTTCTAACGTCTGTGACCGACATACGTAAGTCCAATATTGACCCTAATTTCCATTAGGTACACTAATAATCCCGTGGAGACGCATTCATGCAAAGTTACCTAATCCACAAAAGTCAGGTACCGAGACCGGCAGACGGCGATTAGAATATCCGGTTTAAGTAAGGCTGGCTCGATCTACAAACAAATCCGTTCCTAATTGGTCGACTTTCTAATAGTCTAGACTACCTAGAGTCAAGACCCTCAATACCTAGACGTTAACATCAAAACCACCGATATCAGTCATTAAGCAGTAGTTAGCTGTAGTATCTCGGTTTCTAAATCGTAATTGAGGTTAAGCCCAAGTCTCGCCTTCAGACAATTCGCTTTACCCTTCCACGATGGCAATCGACGAAATCGTGACAGATGCGAATCTATCAACCGTGCTCGATGCTTCCCGCGATACTCGAGTACAGGCGTTGAGACTCGTTGATCAAATCGCGGCAGCTGGGCCTATCGAAAGCGCATCTCCAGAGGCCCAACTGGAGACCTCTAAGCAACAGAAGCTCCTAATCACCAACCTTGCGCAATTGCGTGGCCTTCACCGATCGGCCTACTTTGGTGCCCGCCAGACCAAATCGCAGACGTCCGAAGCGCGTCAGGAAGTTGACCGTCTGCATCTACAACTTCAAAATCTATACTACGAGCAGAGACATCTACAAGGGGAGATCGCGGCTTGCGAGTCATATGAGTCAGTACCCGCTGAAGCTCCATCCAACTATCTTCCTACACCAATTCAAGACCTCAAAGACCTCATCTCCATCTCCATCTCTACATCAAACAACAATCCTTTCCGCAAGCATTATACTGCATCGGCACCTGAACTTGCGCGAGAACTAATTGTATTCAGCCATACTTACCAAAAGCTTCCTCTGATACCTCTTGAAGAGTTCCTCGCATTGAAGCCCGACCATATCGACGATGACGAAAACGCACTGATGATTGCACGAATCGAGCACGAACGCAGCGAGCGCGAGGCTCTAGAGCAGAAACGAATGGAATTGCTGAAGCGGAAACAGAAGCTCATCGCCGACAATAAGAAGAGAAAGGATGATCTCGCGAATCTTGATAAAGAACTTGAAAAGTTCATTGACGTACGTCGACTCTGGAATATTGTTGGACTGGTATCAATGCTCACCTACATAATTTAAACAGGCTGCCAAACCAATCCAGAAATTATTCGATAAGAATGTTTAACCCTCTGGGCTTAATGATGGAGCTTTTGTGTACAAAAGCTCTTGCGGCATCGAACTATCGCAAATTCACCGTCATAACCCGTCTCATGATTTCCCCCTATATTAATAAAGCCAGACGGTCATACAAGGTAAGAGAAACTCTTGCTAGGTTAAAAAGAGGACGCTAATCATGTGTGCCTCAGCTGTTACGGAGCAATATTCGGGATATCTCATATGAAAACGGACATATATCCTCAGCCACGGAACGAGATCATGAGACCCCCTTTATGACCCCCTTTATTATCAACTACATAACTCCGTCAGAGGCGGTCAATCACCCCACGTGTAAATTATGTTGCGTTAGAAAAGAGCACTTTGAGCGTTGACCGATGCTCTACCTCAGGCAGAAGCTTTTCGATACGATTTAAGCAACTGGACGATATCCAATTAAGCGTTTCCTTGCACAGGTCTTGCAGATTACATGCTGCATTGTTTACGCCGTACGGGCTGACGGGTTAGGTGGGGGAATGGAATGATCATAAACGTCGATGATTGTGGCTCAGCTATCTGCAGCTCAATACATATGTAGAGCTAGCGATTGGTGTAATTCATCGTTATCTGCATCCGAGCACATGTTCAATTGAATTGAGAATTCGGACTGCGGATTTCGCAGGCCGAATGGAAACCCAAGTCGCTGGATTGATAGGAGCGAATAGTGGAGACGACAACTTCTTCAATGTATGTATTGTACACTACCTAATGCAAGGGGCATCACATCTGCACGCCGCGAAGTTTTCGTCCCAGAGAACAAGATACCTATGTATTTCCCAGTCATAACTAATGCCGCACATGATTGTAAAGTTCCCGAATGCTCAAGTCTAGTGAGTTAATAGTGAATGAAAAATAAAATCTAGTATACGTATTACTTCCCAAATGCACGCTGTAATAAATACATAGGGCTTGATCACCTCTTTATGACACATATCTACGACATATACCACGAGACCTGCGTGTCAGATCATGGAACCGGCAGCTAAGTGGCTAACAGACTTGGGACGAAAACTGCCCGCAGACGCGTTGGTTGGCCACATAATCCTACATAGCTGTAATGACGCGTTTTCCTATCTACACTTTGTATTTGTATGTAGACAGCTTAAACGCGTTTCACGCATTGGGGGTTGGCCTGGGTGGGCTCATGGAGTAACATGGTGTATCGTATGTATCGACCATTGCCAAGCGAAGCCGATATTTGGATAAGCCTTGCCGAGGACCCCTTATTGAAAGGCCCCCAGGTCTCTCGCAAAAAGGGTTCGGGACTGTTGTTTCGGGCGACGGGGATAGCGAATGTTTTATACGCGGCCCCCAGCTTTGCGAGCTATGTACGATACACTACGCTAGCTAGCTTGTCCCCTATTGATGCGATTGTCATGTCTGTGCGATGTATGTACGGAGCCTTTCTTGGGGAATGGCGCTTCAGAAAAGAGTTGAGCTGGTCAAGCTACCAGTCGGTAGCACCACATCGAACCGCGCCTAGAGCTCAGAAAGGCAGAATTTGCAGTCATTCAGGTACGTAGAGTGGGTTAATAAGTGACGGATCCAGATCGACGGTGGACCAGTAATCTCGACTGGCAAATAAACGTGGATGGTCGGTTGAGCAAAGACCAATCAGAATTGTCCGAGACACACATTAAATTAGTTCGTACGGTCAGAGGATGGGCGAGCATGGGGCTACATGACTATGTATTGTACCTCGCTGCAGACCGGGGGTCATGTGCTACTGAACCAGTAACTAAACCAGTAACTGAACAGAGAGCTCAATGTCCATATCCATCTATATCCACCGCTGTAGGTCATTTGTACCGCTTCGGTACTACTGTACAATTCGATAGAGCATGGTTTTTTTTTGTTGGCGGCCTCCACACTGTCCTGCAGAAATGCGTAACGGGGTTGCTGCGAAGTGGAAAAAAGGGACAAATTTCACAAATTTTTGTTGTGAAGAAGTGTCTTCATGATGATCAGCACTGCAGCAGGAGATTGTTCTAACAACGTTTCAAAAATGTTCTATCGGTTGGGGGGAGCCGAGTTTCGAAATTCTAAAGAAGAAGAAGATTGTAAAAGGGACAGTACGGTATCAGAATTCTACTTCTGGCAATTTGGCCCTAAACAACGCATTTCTATTCGCGAAGGAAAAGCCCCCGGTGTATAAGTGACACTGTGCGACTATGGCCTCAGCTTAACTCTAACAGGCGGATACCGGAGCAACCAACCCAGGCGCAGGTCTCGGTACTTGGAAGGTACAAAGATCATTTAAGAACCTCGAAAGGCCGTCGGCATTTGAAAGCAATTACATGCAATTAACCGATCTGTTGCAATAATTTTGTTGCGATGTAACGCCGAAAGTATTCAACATACATATATTATACAATAGAAACATGGAGACGCGGCATAAAAGACGCCACAGACAAGAAAGACCTCATCATCATCATCATTTGTCTATCTCGCCGCAATCATGTCGTAAGTGTCTTTCTACGCATTTCTGATTTTGCAGTATAAGCGAGACCACAGGACCAATGACGAAGGGAGCGTGACGACTAGCGGATGGCAGTGCGTGGCTAAACAAGGAAACAAGCCACCGTGGCCCGCGCAACTCAAACTCGGTGCAGTTTTTAGTGGATGGTATGGTTATATAGAATGTACCTAACATACATAATGTAACTTAGATATACATGCGTATATGTATGTACGTTGTAGTGTATGCACCTGTGATGTCGAGCTGCAGGAAGATAGCTTCCATAGTCCAGACAGCAGCGCAAACTTACATATGCTCAAACGTGCCTATTTCTTGGACGCCTAACCGCAAATGAAATATATGTACTAGACAAGCAACCCGGTGCCAAATTAGTGCCTCTAGGCCACATGTCTATTTTCTGCAAATCATGTCATGACATACACATACAAATAACTATACACAAATCATACCTTCGGTATACTATCCGTTCCACGTAACCACGTTTGAAACGAGAGGCGCTTACGTGTGGCGCAAGGGAAGCTATAGCCTCAGACTATGTCATCGTAGCATATACACTATTATGATAATAGTCCGTTGTAGTACGTGGGCGCGCGAAGGATCAGACATGGAGTCATGTTTTCGCACACATTATGTGCCGCACGGCTGGACTTCGAAGCTAGAACCTAGCTGACGGGAATTGTGTCGTGCTCTTTCGTCTGAAGGAGTTGTGATACAATATCTGTAAAGAGATCAAGAGGCCAGGATTAAAAGCATGTCCAACAGCATACGTATAAGTAAGTCCAGAGGGCGGTATGCTACCTGGAGTCAGATGGTGACGAAACTAGGGTGTATGTGCACACCATTAGGCCTGCCCAGAAACCGGTCGTGGATGGGTGCATGCATATTCGCTCGGCAAGATAACCAGATGCCTTAAGAAATATCTATCGTAGCGTTGCGCTGCGCTGCCCGCATCCCACTTTTGCGGTCTATGTACAAGCGACGGGCTGCCACTAATAACGAACGTATTACATGTGCTACTGCAACATCGAGACGCTTATAACCTGGGCGGTTTTCGAATAGGCAGTTAGGATTCTCGATGACGAATTCCTGCATACACGTTAAACATTGTACATACCCGTATTTGGTGCGTATTTAGAGATGGGAGAAAGAGCTGAACGAACCAGAGTCCTATACGTACGTAACACACGTATTTCCTTCATACCATGGTAAGCCCTTCTTGAAGATCAAAGAGGCTGAGAGTTGGAAGGATTGAAATTCTACAGCGAAGATTAACTCGCCAACTCGCTAAGCCGACTCTAAGTAAGCCAACCGTGACCGGCGCAGGTAAGAATCGACCTACCCGATCAGCCTTGGGGCGGGATGGGCTGTGAACCTTGCACGCTACCGCATACCTCTCCCAGACTCCCCACGCAACCTAACTATACCCAAGTGCGGTACCACGGTTGCCTATTGTCGATGTATGGCCATGTATGTACAGTACATCTTGCATCTCAACACATGTAGGTCCGTAGGAGACAATAATAGAAGCTGAAGTCATTGTTGGATAATAGTGTAACCAGGGCGAATACACACATAATGAATATTCTTATTACATGCCTAACCTAACATTTAATATAATTAACTAGGTAGTTAATTAATTAAAAGATTCGTCAACTTTGAATAGAAAGATGCATCCGGATAGCCTATTCGAACGTCATTCAAATAAGTTACTTTTTTTTAAGATTCGTATGTTAGTGGATTTTTAGGTAAAATATAAAACAAATTTACCTCGAAGCTATGTAGATGCACACCGTGCCCTCGACCTACATGACGATACCAGTCTCGAACGTGAGCAGCGGAAAGGAAGCTTGGAAGCAGTTGGCTGTGTTAGGTAGCTTACGTCTAGGGTATGGCTGAATCGAGTAGCGTTGAGTAGCGTTGGTAGCTCGACTTGCAGCAACACACCTCTTTGTCTTTCTTTTTTTTTTCCCATGGGGAATTAAATTAAGTTTCCAATCCATCAGGAACGCTTTGTACGCTGGGTTATGACGACAGCCGGTCAAACTTCGACGGGGGTAGCACTATGTCTCTTATTATTCCCGCTCTGGGTATTGTTAAAGAACAAGAACAAAAGAGTCACATTTTGACTCCGACGGTACCTTTTGAGGAAACAAAAGAGAGAAAACACACACGCATACCTACACTTGTATTTTGTAGATGGGATCCATCATACCTTACCTAAATGTTGTACTACATAGACATATACTCGATACACTTTATCCTTACATCCTTTTATTAGTGCTCTTTTTCTGGCCAATTGTATGATTTACGTAATTCACGACGCTCCCAATTCGAACAAATACTCTTAGTCGCCTTACAATTATCGTTCATTCGATTGCATAAAGAGAGGTTACGCTAACTTTTAATAATAGCCTTGCAGGCGGTACCTGGCGTACACTACAGAGCAGGTACACGTACTGTACATCTGGCCACAAGCCCCCCCATAAACTTATGTACCTAAGGCATATTACATACGCTAAACCCTCCCCAGACACTACATAATCATAACCGTCACTACATAGTGTAGCGACGCTAAACTGACTAGCCTGTTAGCAGCTGGACCGGCTAGGCCCATGCTTGAAATATCTGGGAATTAGATCCCTTCCCGTCGTCAGAGCTACAAAATCCACTTTTGGGGGGCGCAGAATCCCTACCCATTTAATTTCTCTGTCGTACTAAACAAGGCTCCCCTTTTCCCTTATTGTTATTACTTTCGTGAGGTTCAACCTAGTAATTTTCCAGCTTCCCTCCCATTTTCTTGCCCTGCTTTGCCAATTAACTAGATTTTTATTTTTCCCTCCTTTTCCATTCCTCTTTTTTTTCTACCCTAGTATTACAATCCAAGAGAGGTCAATCCTAGGTTGTCGTGCAGCTAGTGCACCAATATCGCGACCTTCTCCAGAAGTGTCCCAACCCCCCCTCTCCCTCTCCTACCCCCTTCCCACTCAACGTCCTTCCTTGTGTTATCTTTTCCCGACTAGCCATTGTAACTCCGTTTTCTACTTCCCTTTTCCTCACTCCTTGTTGGCGACTCACCCACGCTCCTTAACCAAATTCCTCAAGAGTCGAGAGCTTCTATCGTCTTGGCCGAATAATATACGAGGAGTCAATCGCAGCACGTCACCACCAGCCATGTCGCTCTTCAGCTGGTGCTCGAAAAGAGTCGGAGGGCTGGCCATGCTAATGACCATAGCCCTCAGCTATTGGGTTATCTCCAAGGAAGCAGCTGTAGTGCGATATGACTACAAGTATATCCCACAGGATTCACTAAGCAAACCGTCGCATTCGACCGTCTCTGCCTCCTCAGAGGGAGGTGGTATCTGGACCCTCGTCTTCGCCTACTACTGCCTTCTAATTCATATACTGGTTTTCGCCTTCCCGATGCGATCATGCTGGGCTCTATTCGACGTAACTCGGAACTTGACAAAGGTTGCGCGTAGCACATCGCTCAGGGATTTCAAGCTAACCCACCGTCGTCGCGGCTCATCTACCTCTCTCTCCAGCTCCGAGACACTGACGTCCTCCAAGGAAGATTCGCTCCCTTCTTCTGCTACCAGCAGCGAGGCTGGCGACATCGAAACTGAGTTCTACACCGACGCTGACAGTGTCCACGAGCAAATTGTTCACGCAATTGTTATTCCCAACTACAAGGAGGAAGTGGATAGCTTGAGAGAGACGCTCGATGTTTTGGCTTCGCACCCCCAAGCTCGATCCGACTATGATGTAAGTTTCTTTATCCCCAATGAAACACTAGATGAAACATTAGCGAACGAAATTCGAGCTTGTCCATTTTCTATGGCAACAATTACGCTACTCTAGCATAATTGCACCAAAAGTTTGATTTTCAGCGCTAATCCGCCTCGTTCTTAGGTCTACCTCGCTATGGAACAACGTGAACACAACGTCGAGATGAAGGCTATGGGTCTCATTCAGGAATTCGTCAAGAAGTTTCGTTCAATCGACTTTACCCTCCACCCTTCTGATATCCCTGGCGAGTCTCCTGGAAAGGGTAGCAACATGGCATGGGCTGCGCGTAAACTCAGTGAGCGGTATACTTCAACTATGAGGAAGAACGTGATTGTCACTGGAATCGATGGTACGCATAATAACCCAAAATTGCTCTAAAGGGCGCTTCGACTCTATCATTGTTAATCGTACAAATAAGCTAACCAACCTTCAAAATACAGCCGATAGCCATCTGTCAACAAACTACTTCGCTCAGCTCACGAACATGCACGTGTCTTACCCTGAAACTGCAAGTACTACTTTGTATTCTGCTCCTATCATCTTCGACCGCAATGCCCATGCTGTCCCTGCTATTGTCCGTGTGGCAGATATTCTATGGGCTGCCGCTGGTCTCTCTGGTCTCTACCGCGGTTCAACTATCTCTCCCCCTACCTCTGTCTATTCCGTGCCGCTTCCGTTGGTCGACCGAGTTGGAGGTTGGGACGGTGATTCCGAAGCTATTGGCGAGGATTTGCACATGTACCTGAAGTGTTTCTTTGCGCTCAACGGTCACTTGACCGGAAGGGCCATCATGAGTCCCGTTAGTCAGAGCAATGTTAAGGGTAACGGCGGTAAGGGCGTCCAAGAGGTATACAACGACATGCAGGCCCGTTATAAGCAAGCTTTACGACACATGTGGGGAGCTTTGGATTCTGGTTTCGCTCTTCGGAAGTTTGTGGAGCTCTGGCAAGAACGACATCACACCGCCAGAGCTTTCCGTCCCCTCCACGTCGCATTGTAAGATTTGACACTCGTATTCCCAGGATTTTCAAGCTAAATTTACTACAGAAACAACCCTACCGATTCATATATCACCCAAAGTCAGCTCGACATTAGCCCAGAGCAGACTCTTGAGAGCCAGGTTTTCCACGATGTTACTTCCGATACGCTAAAAGAGCCTGACTGGAAGCGGATCATCGTCCTTTTTCACCGACTTTTCGAGGCTCACTTCTTACCCCTGCAGATGACCATCCTCGTTGTTGCTTCGACATTGTACATGTGGGTTACTGATAACTCGGACCCTCACCAGCTGGGTTGGCTCTTCACTGTTTGCAACGTCTTGAGGACAGCAGGCCTTATGGAGGTCGTAGTTATGCTGTTCCTATACGAGAAGTTCCACAAGATTTGTGTCACTACGCGCGAGAGAGAAATGAACGAGGCTGGTCTATCCAAGGGGATGTGTTTCTCTCATCGTCATGTTAAGAAGAACTTTTTCGACTACGCCATGGCGCCGCTTGTGGCGCCGCTATATGGGTCGATACCGACAGCTCAGGCTCAACTAATGCACTTTTTTACGTTAGATCTAGTGTACACGGTCAGCAAAAAAGTTACGCGGCAAAGGGCAAAGTCTGTGCTCGCAAATGTTATGCCGTAAATGAGTTTGGTTATTTTGAGTTTAATAATATTCGTCCAGACCGGCTACCGCGGTGGTTCGGGTCGTGCGCTTTCAGTTCGATTCTCTATCAACCCGTTGAAGACCGACGAAGCGAGCGAACTTTTCAGAATTTTTGAAAGAAAGCTCCAAGGAGCTATGTGTAAATAGAGGGCATGATGTTGATATGCATGGCATCGGCACTGGCATTCTAGATACGGGGATCCTTATTCTGGGCTCACGGAGTTCTAGGAGCAAATCGCAGGAACACAAGACGTTTTTCCTGCCGGCATTCGTTTACGAGGCAAGAGAGATAGTGGCCGGGAAGAGTACGGCTCAGCAGTCCAAATCGGCTCGTCGGGGTCGAGGGACGCATCTGTCCGATTGGGGGGCGGGCTAGCCCAGCGAGGACGAGAATCGGGTTTTATGATGGGGAGAACCCAAGATACCTAATGCGCGAACCTAGCCCGGTAATATTTAATATTCATGTACATAACGAGGCGCCATCCTCCGACGGGGCTGGTGGATTGGGAGCACGCCGGTGAACGAGAATAGTTGTCAAGTAGTACTCTTGAAACTTACAACGATAAATGATACATCGTATTGCTCTAGAGCCGAATATGTGCGGAGAATATGATCTGTGATATTACTTTGCATAGTCGGGCGTTTCGGAGACTGGTCCGATGGGTAAGCGATCCGACTGGCAGACCTGGAGTTGAGTGTTGTATATGTCAAAGTTTGCCGACTTCATCAGCATGATATATCTCACTCTTCAAAGGCCGTAATTATAAACCGGCACATTAACATTCTTGCGTGCGACGTGTTCGTTTATTGTAACCGAAGTAAGAAATAAGAAAAGAAAAGAAAAGCAAAGCAAAGCAGAGTACCTAACACCTAAGCGTTGGAGTTCCGTCCATACATATTCCAAACCCCCTAGCTCCGAGTCGAGTCGGAGTAGACGCAACTCGACCAATGGTATTACACGGTTTATTGGGGGGGCGCTGTACCCTCTAGACCGCACCTCCTCGGCGTCTTCGCGATCCATCGCGCAGCGCTATCGTCCGTTCTGTCTCGGAGTCTGGCTGTGGGGTTCGTCACTGGCTTGCTCCGCGAGGGCATGGAGGTTAGGTTTTGTTTTGTTGTGCGGGTGAGGCTCGTTTTCGTAGGGGAGGCAGAAGGGAGGGTGAAGTGTATAAATATACCTAGGGGCCTCGCGTGTTTGAGTTGGGATTTTGTGATAACTACCTACCTACCTAGGTACCTATATAAGTGTCTTCAGCCTGAATCTTGGATTTGATATTTGCTCTCTTGCTTACCTATAGGACTCATAACTACCTATTTTTTTTCCAGGAACTCTTTTTTTGAAAGGTCTTTTATAGTTATTCTAGTTAGCGGAACATAACGCAAGACGACAGACGAGACAATATGGCTGCTGCTAACGCAAACGGTTCCGCGCGACATACCGTCCGCGTCGGCGTGTTCATCCCTACGATGTGCCAGCTCCTCGACGCGGCGTCGGTTGATATTATTGGTTCCATGAGCTATGAATGGTCAGTCCCAAACTCATATCGCTCACTAATTATAACTACTCTCATTCATAAAACTAACATATCACCCCAGTACGTCGTAGAGTGGTCCTGTCCTGTCCTGTCCTGTCCCTCTCCGGCCTCTTAGAAAGGGGCTGTCGACGCTGTGGAATAATACAAGACCTTCCTACTTACTTAAGACCTGCTAACAATTCCAACGCAAGACATGACCGCCTTCCGCCACCTCCTCCCCGAGCCCGTCATCGACCTTGCGCCCTTCGTCGAGATCCACTACATCGGCTCCGTGCGCGCGGGCGAGCACATCACGCTGACGTCCAACGAGTCGATCCTGGCCACGGACCACTACAGCGACGCGGCGGTCGCCCCCGGCAAGCTCGACATCGTGCTGGTCCCCGGGCCCGACCCGGCATCGCACCCCGAGGCGGCCGCGCTGGAGTGGCTAAGCGCGCAGGCGGATACCCCCGGCGTCGATATCCTGAGCGTGTGCACGGGCATCTTCATCTGCGGCGAGGCGGGCCTGCTTAGGGGGAAGAGGGCGTGCGGGCCGCGCGCGCTGCAGGATATGATTCGCCAGAGGGGCTTTGGCGAGAAGGAGTTGATTGGGGATAAGTATCGCTGGGTGCAGGATGGGAACTTGTGGTCGGGTGGTAGGTTTTGACCCCCTTTTTCTCGGTCACTCTTCCCCCCTTTTCACGTCGTGTTGTTCCCGTATCGTATCTTTGCTAACACCGGTATTTCTTGGATTTAAAAAGGCGGCGTGACCAACGGCAATGACCTCGTGGCGGCGTACTGCCGCGCGACGCCGCGACATTTTGCTCGGCCTACCGTGGAGATGGCTATCGAGACTATGGAAGTGGGTGATCGTGGGCGAGAATATAGTGATGGTTAGTCTTACCTCCGTTCTTCCACATTTTGCTGGGGGGATTATTATTTTTTTCCCTTCCGGGCCTAGCTAACGTGCTCCAGGGCAAACAGAGGCGTCCCTCAAAAAGAAGATCGAGGATATTATCGCGGAGGCTAATGCGATTATTGCTGCTAAGAACTAAGAGCAGAATCACCTAAGAGTTAGATACGGAGGTTGATATAAGGGGTGGAGGACGACGGTATGGTAAAATAAAATTGTGAAAGAAACGAGGACTACTCTCTACTCTAGAGTTCGATAGCAAAGTAAGAAAAGAAGCGAAGAATTATTTTCGTACGCTGTGGTATATACGTCCGTGTTTTCGTCTATATGTGAACTGAGACATTCTCTAGCAGGTGTTGGTTTTTGGTCACTGAGACAAGACCTTCCTTAGGCTGAACCCCTATTTGAAGACGTTAGGTATATATATTATACCTTAGTTTCTAATATGACACTTCAAAGTCGTTTACTTCAACTTATATGATCTTATAACTTATAAGATATAACTTACCTAAGAACTCGGATAGCCATACTACATAGTATCCAAGCCACACCCTGACTAATACGTACATACGTACATATACGTACCTCCTAGCTATATTAGATTAAGTAAAAGCCCTCATCAACAGTCAACAAGAAAGAAATCCTAAGGTATACCGTCATTTGTTATTGTCATACCTAATACAGCCGTACCATTGGCTAGCCCGAGGCTTCGCTGCAGAAGCTGGTTGCCCGTCGCTAAAACCATCTAAGCAAAGCGGCTGTGAGGATCCGTGCGGATAAGCCTCTTTTTAACTAGCGCCGCCTTATCTATAAACGCGGTAAGACTTTTTGGGTGGGGTGTTGCTGCGGCGGAAGTTTTTTTACTCGAAGGAAAAAAAAAATTTGGAGAAAAGTAAAAGACGGACAGCTTAGTTAGCTTCTTAACTTTTTTTTTTCACCTTCTTCTTCAACGGGTCTCAAGTCGCGTCTGAAGTCTTTCTTTTTTTTCCTCTTCCTCATCCATAAAATATTATCTTCTCTCTTGCGCTTTGCAAGTTTCAATCCATAAACAACAGTGTTCCTCATTGAGCTTTCAATTCCATCTCAAGCCCAAATCACATCTTCTAGTTATTTAACCAAAGTCAAACTTATCATTCACGATGCCTATATTACCTGTCGCCCTCTACGGGCTCGAGGTCCCGGCGCAAGGCGTCATGGTTCCTGCTATGCAGGAGGAGGGTATCCATGGTGCTTCTGTAAGTACTATATGACATGGTTACGACGGAATCTCCCCCGCCGCTTCATCATGTCCAGTATTTCGGTCTAAAGTTGTAAGTACTAATATAGAATCTCAAGTATCGCATCACCATGGCTGCTCTTGACCCCACCGAGGAGCCTGAAGCCGATGATGAGGGCAATATCCCCGCCGTCCCGCGTTCTACGCTTAAGCTCATCCGCAAGCGACCTTCTCTCGAGGACGACCTTAATGAAGAATTGCTAAACCGGTTCATGGGTGGCGGTGACGATGAGTCGGATGAAGACGACGAAGAAGATTCGGATGAAGAGGTCAATGGCGGCCCTAGTGACCCCTCCAAGTCGAAGAAGGCCCGTCGCGAGGCTGCTCTGCAAAAACTCATCGAAGCTGCCCAAGAAGAGGAAGACTCGGATGAGGAGATGGAGGACGATGACGCCAAACCCAAATCAAAGATCAATGGTGCCGCTAAGACCAAGAAGGCCAAGAAGGGCAAGGAGCCCGCTACTTCCAGCGACGACGAAGATGACGATGAGAGCATCGATTCTACTACCCTAGATCTCGAGGAGCTTGTCGTTTGTACCCTTGATACTGAACGCGTATGTCTTGCCCTGAAAACTTTTTTTTATAGCTCTACTAACGTAACCCAAAGAATTACCAACAACCCCTCGACATCACCATTGGCGCTGATGAGGAGGTCTTCTTCGTTGTCAAGGGTACTCACACCATTCACTTGACTGGTAACTACGTTGTCGACTCTGAAGATGTCTCCGACGAGGAAGATGAGGACGATGATGACTACGGTCTGGGCATCGAAGAGTATGGCCCTGATGACTCTGAGATAGATGAGCTTGATGATCTCCAGGACCCTCGTGTTACAGAGGTGGACACCGACGAAGAGGATGCTCCTAAACTGGTAGCTGCCGAAACCAAGAAGGGCAAGAAGCGCCAGGCTGAGGAAGCGGAGAGCCTCGATGACTTGATGGCCAAGGCCGAGGAAACCAAGTTGAGCAAGAAGCAGCAGAAAAAGCTCAAGAACAACAAGGGGGAGCCTGTTGGTGTTAAGGAGGACGCCAAGGCCGAGCCCACCAAGGACGCTTCCACCAAGGGTGATAAGAAAGTCCAGTTCGCCAAGAACCTAGAACAAGGTCCCACTGGTTCGGCTGCCGCCGAGAAGGGCGCTACCCCCGGCGTAAAGGTTGTCCAGGGTGTCACTGTTGACGACCGCAAGATAGGATCTGGCCGCGTCGCAAAGAAGGGTAACAAGGTTGAAGTCCGATATATCGGCAAGCTTCTGGATGGAAAGGTCTTCGACGGTAAGTTTCGCTCGCAGAGGATAACGTACGGGCGTTTACTAACGTGAAAATAGCCAACAAGAAGGGAAAGCCCTTCAGCTTCTCTGTAGGAAAGGGTGAAGTTATTAAGGGTTGGGATATTGGAATCCAGGGCATGGCCATCGGTGGCGAACGCCGACTGACCATTCCTGCTCACCTCGCCTACGGAAGCAAAGCGCAACCCGGCATCCCCGGCAACAGCACACTGGTGTTTGACATCAAGCTGATGAACATAAAATAAGCGCGCAATAGTCACCGTGCGTAGCATTTCCTTGGAATTTCCTTACCTGCAGATACCACTACGGTTGTACTCTTATGTCTGGTTTTTTTCGGTCAAGTTTTTCGGTACGATCCGTTGACGAGTCTCATAATGTCGTGCTGTTGGGTCTCCGACCTGCGCGAATCTGCGAGGATCTGGCGTCTCGTCAGGCGCAGGAAGCAGATGTTGTCATAAGGGATGACGAGGTCTGCGTTGCATTACAGGCGTACAATTTTCGAGGGAGGTTGGGTATCCTCTCCGTGCACGTGTTTCCGCTGATTTCTATAGGCAGTCTTGATACTCAGATAGACTAGCTATACTGAATTCGTTGTTTTCGGTTAATCGCCGCGGTCGTTGGATTTGTGATTTCTGTGAATGATAAGTGGTCTTCGTGATAGGTTATGGGCCGTAATGAAGGAGTCTTTCTATTAAAGCCAACCCATAATGGCGTAGTAATAATGAAATGTTATAAGCAAATACAATATGGTAGGTAGGTAGGTGTAGAAGCTATAGCTACCTAATTATATTTGTTTGCTTGAACTTCTGTGCTCCGCCTAATTGGCCCTGAGCAAGGAACTTGGTAGGACGCATACCTGAGTAGCCCCTATTTTCACTATTATCCGTAAATACCTACGAATGGCGCGTCTATACACAAAATCAGGATTTACTATTCGCTTTTGGTTCCTGTTACATAATTCGCTAACTTGGCAGCGGGACTCCTCGACAGTAATTACAACCAAGCAGACGTATTAGACTTGGTTATTTGATTTACCTGCTCGGTACCGAACTAGCTACGCCGATTCATGTTTGTAAAGATTCCTCTATTATATCACTTAGTTATATATTATCCAACTAACCTAGAATACATATTAATATGTTTCCCATCTATTCTAACTACATTTTAAATAAAGATGAGGTTTTATATAAGTCGGAATTTGGATGTGGTAACTATGTGATGAGTGAATGATATGAAGTGTTTAAGTCTTGCTTTCATACATACGGACCTATATGAGTTAGGTACTTACACTAATGTAGTTATATTCTATGACTTGTACAACGGTATGAACTAAATCGATCTATTTCCGATGTTTCAAATACTTTGTAGCATAGAATGAAGCTATTCGGACTTTTGCTCTTTACCCCTTTTCCACCGCCGAATTAGTCGGGGTAATATTGGGCCGGTAATTTGCCACGACCCATGTAGGCATCGACGCATCGTATGCTGCAATTGGGGGTGATGATTGGCTGATACTAGCTCGAATACCTTGTTCATTCATTCTCAGGACTCCTTGACTATACGACGAGCTTAACTTATATATTTCTTAAAATTACGTTAAAATATACCGGCGCCAATTCCGACAGTATCTCATCCCCATTCCGTGGCAGACAATGCCCGAATTCGAATTCGTGAACGTGGCTCGTCCCGGCGACGTAAAACGCCACTCTACCAAAATCCGCCGCCATGTCATGAAAGATATCGGCAAGGCCCGCCGGAAACCGCGGGCAAAGACGCGAGGAGAAGTGGTGGTAATTGGAGAGAATAGCTCTCCCGCCGGTAAAGACGGGGATACGTCACAGAGGGGCAGCTCATCTACAACCTCTTTAGTTCTCCCAGATCCAAGGGGGGATAGCATATTACAGACGTTACCGTATCCGATCGATATGAATGAGGAACGGCTAAGTCTAATCCGATATGGTAGGTAAATAAAGAACCCATAAGAGGCCATAATATCTTCAAGTCTAATAATATCAGTTGTCGACGAGGCGAAATCCCATTATAGACCGTTCCGGTTTACATGGTTGACGATGGGATTGTCGGACACGGCCGCTTGGCATATTACGCTTGCGAATGCCGCCTCGTATCGCCAAGCCAGCCAGTTGCCGCCGGGGTCGACAGCGGAATATAGCTGCAGCGTCGAGGCCATGAAGTGGTATACGCTATCGCTGGCGTCTATTACTAAGAGGCTTGCGGATCCTAATGAGAAAGACACAGAAGGGCTTATAGTTGCTATTACGGGATTCGTCTGCCACGACGTACGTACTATTTATACAACTCTATTAGCTAGCTACTTGTCGTACTGAGAGATATATTCCAGGCTACAATAGGTAACTTCGATCGTTTCCGTATTCATATGGAAGGCCTTCAGCGTATCATTAATAAGAAAGGCGGGCTGGATGCGTTAAATAGCCCATTCCTGCGATTGATGATATCCTGGTGGGTTGTTATCTACTTCAAAATAGCTCCTACAAAGTCTACCTATCACCTAACACGACACAATAGGCTCGATCTAATCGGAGCAACATATTACAACAGCAAGCCTCGTTTTAGCATCCCAGAAGGTTCCATCCGAGAAATCGACACGGGCAACGACTCCCAATACCTACAGCAGCTGCTGAGCTCCTGGGACGCGGACTGTCCCACCCTAGGCGACATCATGAGCGCCATGAAAGCCACAGCCGCGGTCGCCAGCTACATCAACCACCGGCCCGCGGACGACGGGTTCTGGACCGACGACGTGGCCGTAGCGCGGCTGCTCGGCCCGGCCTTCCACGAGATCCTATCTCTCGACGGCCGCGCGCTGCCAACCAACACCTCGGACCCGAATTACTCGGCGACCGCCGCGCGGGAAGCCTTCCGGCGGGCGGCGCTGGTGTTCCTCGCCGCGGTAAAGGCGAAGATGGGCGCGGGCGCGTTCGAGATGGACAGGCATCTCGATGCGTTCCGGCAGATATCGCAGCTGCCGCTGGTGGATTGGGGCGTCGTGCCCGAGTTGAATCTCTGGGCGCATGTCGTCAGCGCTATGCAGGAGGAGAGTCCCAGTCGGGCGTGGCATATCTTGACTATAGTGGGGATTATGGAGACTATGGGATTGCGGACTGGCGGCCAGGCTGTGGACGTTGCGCGGGGGATTATTTGGGTGGATGCGATTGATGGGGGGAAGTCGGATTTGCTGTGTCGGGAGATTGATGGCTATCTGGAAGCTAGTATGGCGCGAGGGCTGGGGGGTGTGGGTGTGGGTGTGTCTTTGGATCCCCGGCTTGATGATCTTTCTGGAGGTGTTGGGAGCTGAGAGGACTATATACGCTGGATACTAGGTTACTGAGTTGCGAACTATTCGGATGGGAGAAACAGCTAAGTGACTTATATGGAAATACCCTTATACAACTGATACTGATATTAAATATAGACAGAATACCCCCTTTTCACTTGACCTATCTAACATTATTCTTTGGCCTGTCTGGCCCGGCTTCAACCAAAAATCAGATACCTTTCCCCTTAATATAATATATCATGGAAATTACACCTCCCCTCACCTACTCCCCGTGATCCCGGCATCAGCAGCAATAAACTGCCCCGTCACCCACCGACTCCTCTCCGACGCAAGCAGCAGCACCACATCGGCAATATCCTCCGGCACACCGCGGCGTTCCGCGCCCCGCTGCAGCAGGACCATCGGGTCGATGATTTCGGGCGAGTCCTTGACCATGTCAGTTACCACGGGCCCCGGGGCCACCGTGTTCACCGTGATGCCGTGGGTGCGGCCGAGCTAATTAAATCGAGCCTTTTTTTTAGCTTTTTGATCCGGGATCTGATCTGTCTGTCGAATTGGAAAATTGGAATTGAGAAAGAAAGAACCCTTACCTCGCCAGCCCACGACGTAGTCAGGCTGTCCTGCGCTGCTTTGGAGGCCGCGTAGAGCCCGACTTGGGGCGGGTGCGTCTTCGATGCTATGCTTCCGATGTTAATGATACGGCCGCCCGGCGGCATACGCCCCTGGTCGACGACCGCTTGGGTCATGAACAGCTGGCCGTATACGTTGGTTGCGAAGGTGCGTTGGCATAGCTCGAAGTCGGTTTCTCGCAGGAGTCGGGTTGCGCCGTAGCCTGCGTTGTTGACTAGGGAGTGAGTGTGTTGCGTTAATATGAATATCTCATAGTTCTAGTGGGCAGGTATTACTGCTACGTGAGACTTCGTACCAAGGATGTCGATGTGATTCGCCCCGAGCTGTCCCAGCGTCTCGGCAATGATCCCCCGGGACCCCTTCGGCGTGGATATGTCTCCTTGCACGCATGCCACGTCGACCCCGTACTCGTCCCGGATCGACTGGGCTATCTCGTTTGCCCCCTGAGCCGAGCTCTCGGAGACGTAGTGGATAGCTACGGAAGCGCCGTTACGGGCTAATGCCCTTGCTATTGCTGCCCCGATACCGTTCTCGCGGCCGCTACCAGTGACGATAGCAATCTTGCCGGCGAGTGAAAAGGAATCCGCTGTTGTGTTTACAGCTGGCATATTTGTAAGACTCGGCATGCTGAAGACGAAATAGATGGATGTATGCTTATTTCTTGAGTAACTAACCTAAAAGTGTGTATGACAACAAACAAAAATACCAGTGAGTGAGTGAAGTTACAACTGACCCCCTCACCCGACACGATGTCTTTGTCTTCTTATACCATCGCTCATTCTCGTCGGCCATACACAACTGTGTCATCAGTGGCGTGTTTGGTACTATCCCAAAGGAAGACTAATGAACCGCGCACGGTTCTCCGGGGACAAATCAGAAGGGATTCCGATCAATATCTTAAACATCAGTGTAACTTAGGTCCCTAGCTTAGATCCCGATAAAGAAGTTCTTTTTAAAAAAGGAAATATAGTCAATCAAATGTTGAAGGCTGCGGCCAATTGGACTTTAAGGGGGGTTTTAATGATGCTTTGTGTAACGTCGGGAGTTATCCCCTTGTGCCAGGTACTCGATATATTTACTCGAGCTAGGTATTCTTTAGGACTATCTTCCTGCAAACGGTATATCTTGTGAGATATGAGATATGATATTCTTCAGCAAGTGCCAATCTTACGTCTTACCTAGGTACCCTAACATAGCAGTCGTTTAGGCGTCAATACATCACCGCCTGACGACGTAGAGAACAACTGAAATGTCCGTCATCCGTATAGATCCAACATTGCAAGTTGTATTAGTTATACGCGCTCGCCCATAGTTGAGGTTATAGCGTAGGTATGAGATGAGGGTCTGGTGGCGGTTACCGATATACGATTCGAATGAGATGTGACAATAGCTTACATCGGAAGTCCGGAAACTCAATCGCATCCAAAACTCCGATTTCTTTTTTCTTCTTCTTACTTTTTGAAAGGGAACCACGTTACGCCCGATTAGGTAAACGGAATGACGCCAAGTTCTACGTGTCCGGCCAATAGCATTTTATGATTCCTAAAGCAGAACTACCATACTTTGTAACTTGATAGCGCACGTCGCTGCTACATGTGATATCTTAACCGCGCCCATCTAACCGACTCCGCGCAAATCTCCACCATGAGATATAACGATTTCTTTAGCAATTAATTGCTTAGTAGCTTCGTCCAAACATGACAAACTTCTCGGCTAGCCGTTCGCACTCCGGGTTCAAACACTTGGTCTCCCCATGGACTAAGCCTTCTGGCTGCTCGAAAGGAATGCACAAGCTCTTCATTCCCATCGATGGAGCCTTCTGTGCTTCTGGAGTGTTGGGGTCTTCATCAGTGCGGCCGTGTGTAAGTTCTTTAATCTTGTCCTCGCATTTGCCGTCGAGACAGAAGGGGATGATCACCACGTTCTTGGCATCCAGAGCAGGGAGGACGTCGTCCCACTTCTTGATGATAACACGGTGCTCTCTGTAAGCCTTCTCTGCCTTGTTGTACATATCGCTCTGGATAGTTTCGAGGAGTTCGGGGACCTTCGTAGCAAGCTCGGTGAGAGGAATCGTACCTTTCTCACCAGTATCTCGGCGAGCAAAGCTGACAACTTCCTTGGCCGCGTCCTTTGGTCCGAATTCCAGACGGAGAGGGACACCCTTCAGTTCCCAGTCGTTGAACTTCCAAGCTGGGGTATATCCTTCTCTCGTATCGACCTCAGCGCGCACACCCGCCGTCTTGAGGGTCTGCTTGATTTCGGCGAGTTTATCGCTGTGCTTGGCCCTGTCCTCGGGAGTAGTGCTCTTGGTGATACCGACAGGGATTAGAACCGTCTGGATCTTGGCAATTCGTGGAGGGAGGACCAGGCCTTTGTCATCACCGTGTATCATGACCATCACGCCAATAACACGGGTTGATAGACCCCACGAATTCTGCCAAACGTTGATGTGCTTTCCCTTCTCGTTCGGGTCTTCAACGGTGATGTCAAACATCTTGCTAAAGTTTTGCCCAAGACAATGCGAGGTGGCGCCCTGAATGCCTCGTCCGTTGGAAGGGATATAGCCCTCTACCGTAGTCGTGTAGTACCCACCGGCGAATTTCTCATTCTCGGTCTTTCGGCCCCGTACAACAGGGACTGCCAAGAGCTGTTCATATATGGAAGCGTAAAGCTCCAGGATCTGTAAAACCTCCTCGCCGGCAAGCTCCTCGGTCAAGTGCGCGGTGTGGCCCTCTTGCCACAAAAACTCTCGTGCTCTTAAGAAAGGGGTGGTTTGCTTCGCTTCCCATCGTACGACCGAATTCCATTGGTTTAGTCTAAAAGGAAGGTCTCTGTGACTACGAATCCACTTGGCGTAATAAGGGTACATGACTGCTTCGGAGGTAGGGCGAACTGCGACTGGAACCTCGAGGTTTTTATCACCACTGTGAGATGGCTTAGTATTAGCTGCTATTCGACGTAGGCCATACCCGCGATAATAATATTCTGACTCACGCTTTTGTTACCCACGCGAGTTCAGGGGCGAAACCTTCGACGTGGTCCTTCTCCTTCTCTAGCGACTTCTGGGATAAGAACATGGGGAAGTTGGTCTCGTCAACACCTAAAGCCTCGATGTGCTCCGTAAACCATTTGCGAATGACGTTCCAGATATACATAGTCGCAGGGCGCATAATGTAGAAACCCGAAATTTCGGTGTAGTACTCGACCATCTCAGCCTTGAGCACGACCTCTTGATACCATTGCGCGAAGTTGTCCGCCTTGGAGGCAGTAATTCCAATGATATCGTCTACCTTCTTTCCACCCGAGCCAACAACCGGGAGAGTGGCTTGCTTTGCCGCTTTTGCAGCTTTCTCGGCAGCTTTCTTGGCCTCCTTTTCTGCCTTTTTAAGGGCGCTCTTGGATTGCTCGACTGGCTTGTTCTCCTCCATGTTTATCGTCTCCTGGTTTAGTGCTCGATGATATGGCGATAGGCTTCTCTCGAAATAATTAAATTATGAAAGAGGATAGAGTTATTACCACAAGATAAAAATTGATGTGATAAGTTTAAGAGCGGCGGATATTTGAGTCACACCGGAGCGAAATAGATGTGAAGGTGACACCTGGGGTACTGGATAAAAATAAAAATAAAACAGTGTACCTGTACCTCGTACTATGTTGGTAGTAATAACGCGAACTGGAAATTTCAATGGTGCCCCGCGATTTCCCTCTCCTGCCTCTCCCAATAGAGGGGTCCGAGGGGTCCAAACTTATCTTTGGAGGGGCCTGAGGGGCTGACTGGGCTGATAAGAGAAAATGGGACCGTGCGTTTATTATCGGACTAGGAATAACCATTACTTCCGCAAAAAAGTTCCAAGTGCAAGGTGGGTGCTACCTAAGGAAGCTTCACCTAACAAAATATCGAGAGCAGCCTGGTAGCTCCGATTATATCACATTCCCCTCTTTTCCCGACTACACTGGAAGTTGTCTGTTGTTTATAACCAACTTGTTTGTAACCTATAACCAAGTAGAAAGCTTCCTGAAAGATGGCTTCTATGTTTGAGCAGCCTTCGAACGGGACTCTGTTCCTCGGCGGCCAGAAGATTTCCGGTGCGGATATCAGGGATCAGAATGGTAAGTAGCTCCCTACTCCTTAAAGTTGCTTTTAATATTGTTATACACAGCTAATCAAGACATATAGTTCTTGCTACTCAATCCATAGCGAACGTTGTCAAGAGCTCTTTTGGACCTAGCGGTCTAGATAAGATGATGGTGGACGATATTGGAGTACGTAAACTATAGTCCTAAATATCGGTGCTTCATAACTGACTATATTTATTATAGGATGTCACAGTAACCAACGACGGCGCGACCATCCTCAGCTTACTAGATGTCGAACACCCCGCTGGAAAGATCCTCGTCGACTTAGCGCATCAGCAGGATAAAGAAGTCGGTGATGGAACAACTTCGGTAGTGCTTATCGCCGCCGAACTCCTACGCCGAGCAAACGAGCTTGTGAAGAACCGAATACACCCAACTACTATCATCACAGGCTACAGACTTGCTTTGAGAGAGGCCATAAAATACATGAATGAGAATGTCAGCACTAAAGTGGAAAACCTCGGCCGCGAATCGCTACTCAGCATCGCCAGGACGTCAATGTCCAGCAAGATTATCGGCGCCGACTCCGACTTCTTTGCCAACATGGTTGTTGATGCTCTCCAAGCAGTCAAGACGACAAATAACCGTGGCGAGGTGAAATATCCCGTCAAGGCAGTCAACATCCTAAAAGCACATGGCAAGGGCGTCTTAGAATCCGTCTTGGTCAAGGGATATGCTCTAAACTGTACCGTTGCATCGCAAGCAATGACTACGCGGGTACAGGATGCTAAGATTGCAGTACTTGATATGAACCTGCAAAAGGAGAGGATGAAGTTGGGCGTACAAATCACAGTCGATGACCCTCAACAACTCGAACAGATCCGCGCACGAGAATCAGGAATGGTTATCGAGAGAGTGGAGATGATACTGAAGGCCGGAGCAAATGTTATTCTAACGACCAAGGGCATTGACGACATGTGCTTGAAGCTCTTCATCGAGCGTGGCGCCATGGCCGTGAGGCGATGCAAGAAGGAAGACCTGCGACGAATTGCAAAGGCTACCGGCGCGACCCTATTGAGCACACTTTCTGATCTGAACGGTGACGAGCGATTTGAACCTTCGTACTTGGGCCACGCCGAAGAAGTTGTTCAAGAACGCATTTCAGACGATGAGTGCATCATGGTTAAGGGGACCAAAACGCACTCGTCAGCCTCTATCCTCCTTCGAGGACCAAACGACTTCACACTCGACGAGATGGAGCGATCCGTTCACGATTCGCTTTGTGCGGTTAAGCGAACTTTAGAGAGCGGCAGCATCGTGCCCGGTGGTGGAGCGGTGGAAACCGCACTGCACATCTACCTAGAAGAGTTTGCAGGCACAGTCGGCTCGAGAGAGCAGCTAGCCATTGGAGAGTTCGCGCAATCGCTTCTCGTTATTCCCAAGACATTAGCCGTCAACGCCGCCAAAGATGCAAGCGAACTAGTGGCGCAATTACGGTCTCGACACGCTCTATCGCAGAGGACACAAGATGGAGAAGCCAACGAGGACGAGAAGACGATCGCGAAAAAGAAGAACTACAAGAACTACGGTTTGGATCTGATGAAGGGAAAGGTGGTCGACGAGATTAAAGCTGGCGTATTAGAACCCAGTATGAGCAAGGTTCGACAGCTGAAGAGTGCGGTGGAGGCGTGTATCAGCATAATGAGAATCGACACCCTGATCAAGCTGGATCCGGAGGAGAGGGGAGAGCCGGATGATGGCCATGGACACTGATAGAAAATAAAGGAAAACATGGTGGGCGCGAGGCGTTCCTAATAGGGAGACGGTTTGAGACACAAGTCTACCTAATTATACAACCCAAATTCCGGATCCGAGGCAATCAAACCGTCCACCTACATTAGCGTCCAGTGGCATTCCAGTACGTGCACCATGTAGTGTGATGATGGGGTTATAATATGTAGTAACCAAGGTCAGCAGAGCTCATTCCCATGTAAGTCGACCTCTAAGTCCCACCCGTACACCTAAATTCGAGGCGGGTTGCATCGGCATGATGTCCCCACAAGGTTCGCGGTATAACCGAGACCCACCTGCCTCGAGCCCCATCCCGCTCAGCTTATTAGTCCGCCTTTTTGTAGTAATCGTAGACTCGCCAACTTAATTTAACCCATTATCGTGGACCTTCTTATAAAAGGTATGTATTTCATATACTTCTTCTGCCAAAATCCCTCTACTATTACCTTCTCGAGACCGTGAAGAAGATAGGCATAATGCCGATTTGAATTATTACCGTTTTTGGCCAAGTGGTCCGCCGAACCCCGGTCCGAGATCGAGACCCGGAGCGGCTCAAAGTCAGCCAAGAAGACCGGTAGACTCACCGGCTTTCTCGAATTTCTGCATTTTGTTACATAAAAACCATGGAGTCTTGGCCTATGTAGTACTAGGCCACCGCAACCCCCCCAATTTCTTCTTGTAACCGTGGTTCAAGGTAATGGACTAGTCCCGATACATGCATGTCGACTGGTCACCGGTTTTCATATTGGGGCCCCTATCCGCAGGGTTCATACGTCAAGATTATTTATACTTTATACAACGAGTATATGTATTGCTGGTAGTACCTTCCCACGTTTCTGTGGCTGCCTTTTTTAGCCATCTCTTCGTTCTTGCTCAGCAGTCTGGCGTTGGCATGTTACCAATAGGCTTTTCTTTAAACGCTTGAGTGTTGCTAAGTCTTGCAGGAAACGACATTCCTTAGGTCAACCCATTATCGTACCACGTCTACTATACCCAACGAATACGCTTGGATCCCGGACGTTTATAACGATTACAGTCTCGGTGACGCAAGGCTTTGCTATTTATTCCGTACTGCTAGGAGGTACTTATACAAATAGTAGTTGACAATATGGGCTCCGCTTCTCAAGACACTTATGTCCTCCCCGAGGCTACGGCTCCCTCGCTAGTACTCGCACATCCAACCGATACCGAGAAACACCGAACCTGGACTCTCAACCATAGAGAATGGGGTGGTGCTCTAGCTCTCGAGGAGTACCTGAAGCGAGAGCCGTACTTCACTACTATCCCCTTAACACGCGACGGCGGTATGACACACTGGATTCTCACGGACTCGTCTTGGTCGGCAGATAGAGGGGGAAACCGTCCGGTCCTTGCGTCGTGCGAGTCTATTAGAAAGCGGGTGTTAGTTGCTTCCCCAAGCGATAATACAGTACACGATGGCGTGGGCCACGGTATCGGGTCCGTCTTCACGTATCCCGAATTCCGCGGGAACCGGTACGCAGCTCGCATGCTCAACGAGCTGGGCCCCGCGCTGAGGAAGTGGCAATCCGACGGTCGTGACGCCGTATGCTCGGCTCTTTGGTCGGATATTGGCAAGACGTACTACGCGAAAAAGGGCTGGGCCGCGTTCCCCAGTCTGCACGTCGAATTCCTAGTATCCACCAACCACCAGACTGGAGAAAGCGGGGGGGACAAAGTCTCGCCTATAACATACGATAATCTAGAACCCCTCTGCCAACGAGACGAGCAGCTCTTAAAAGAAAAGCTCCTACATACAGCGCAAAAAACAAGCCGCACAAGCGTAGCTTTCGCCCCCGACCACGATACCCTACGGTGGCATCTCTACAGAGACGACTTCATCGCCTCCATCCTCTTCAAATCAGACCCGTCACAATCACAAGAACCCTTCTCCAGAGGCGCGCTAGCCGGTCCCCAAGGCCGTCGCGTCTGGGCCCTCTGGTCGCGGAACTACTACGGCGGCGGCAGCGGCAGCGCCCCGGCTGATAACGTCGATAAAAACACGCTGTACATACTGCGGCTGGTCGTCGAGCCGGAAGAGTCCTCAGAAGAAGGAGAAGACGAGAATCCGAGCGAGGATATACACGAGGCGTTTGCGGCTGTGATACAAGCTGCGCTACGAGAGGCTTCCCGCTGGCATCTCGGAAAAGTCGATCTGTGGAACCCGTCGCCGACTGTCAAGAAGTTGATCGATAGGAGCGGGTTCCGGCACCGCTGGGTAGAAAGGGATGAGGATAGCATACCGAGCATGATGTGGTACGGAGACGAGGACGTTCGCGATGTCGAGTGGGTTGCCAATGAGAAGTACTGCTGGTGCTGAGAAATAATACAATACAATGCGATACGATACGAGAGGGGATTGATTAAGGAACAAAGAACGAAGAAACAGAGCAGAGCAGCACAATTAGAGCGAAGAGGAGCATGCAGAGAAGTTGTTTTAGAATGAGTTTCATTAAGCCTTGGTAACGGCTATCTGGGGTATCTATAGAAACTTGCTTTGCTCCGAACAGACTTGGGACGGAGATATCATCATTAGGGATGGCCAGAGTTACCTTTCCAGACAGCACTGGTGTGTATAGATTAGGTAGCTTCTCAATCATCAACTCCCTCTAACTACCTAAGTAAGCCTGTCGACGATAATAGGATATAGGCAACCGTGTCCTGCTATAACCTCGGCCATCTGGTCAGAAAGATCGAATACCCAGCAGAAAGAGCAAAAAAGGCTCCGTAGCAGAGAATAAATTAGGTAACATACACGCACACATGGCTCTCTCAAACCTCCCCCTTTCACGTCCAATTCGTATGCTGCAATGATGTATGTATATCTTCCTCAACGCCAAGCCGGGAGAACTTCACTTCTAAAGGCGGAAGTGCTTGCAAAATCCGTAGTTAGACCGCAAAGTAAACAAGGCTAAATGCACACACAACGTTCCGTGGCTTCCCCTTGAATGATGTATCTATCGAATGGGCACCTTCGACGAAGGGCAAAAGCCAAAGCAACCAGATAACAGGCGGCATTTACCAACTCCGAGAAAAAAAAACTCGGAAAATGCGAACTTGATAGCTAGGTACTTGATAGGTCCTTCTGTGAACGAGGCTTGTAAAGGGCAAGACGCGTTAGAGTATAAGGGGTGGTGGGGAGACGGCAATTGTAGCTAGGTAGCTATCCGAAAAAACGAAAGTTGTAAGCGTTTGGATCCCGTGCGTTTAGAAAACCATTCATTGGTGGTCTGTAGACCGGAACGAGATGATCTACAGGGATATCTTGGGGCCGCCCGTTGACCATACGTCGATGCACTACTTGAGGTGCTGGCTGACGTCCAGGAGCTAACTGGTCCACGGGGCGCTGCGGGGCACCCGGCTGGGGAATCGGAGGAACGACCCGAGGGGCGTGTCTGGCTGGTATGCCTTGTAGAGGTTGCATTGGAGGTGGATGTCCGGCTCTAATCGCCGCAAGCCGCCGTTCAAACTCTGCCCGGTTCAGTTCTCGAAATTGCTCTCGAAATTGCTCTGGTAGGTGTCCCGGGGGTACCGGGGGCATCGGGATCGGGATCGGGGGTGGGTTTCTACCATTTATGTCCCCGTGCTGTGCCGCGATGCCTGGTGGACCTTGACGAACAAACTGGGGACCACCAGCCGCAGCTACGGGTTGAGCCTCAGGGTTCACAGCGAGAAGAGCCGCATGACGCTGCCGCGCAAGACGGTTGAGGCGATCGATGCGAATGTTCATATTCTCAATAACATTCGCGGGAACGGCCGGAGCGCCCTGTGTCGAGTTACCCTTTCTACGTTTTTGATCGTCTTGCAAAACTTGTTCTGAGATGTTGATTTTCAACACGTCTTCTGTCTGTATGTATAGCACGAATATTAGAGATAAATTTGGACCAACAGATTGAAGTTGAAATGGGACAGACTTTAGACTGAAGGAATAACGGGGTAGAAAAAAGGACTTACGATATTAGTATTATCTTCTAGCATTTTCTGGCGAGCTTGCTCTTCCGCTTGCTGTACCTCTTGTTGGTGACGCTCCTCGGTCTTATCGAACAGCGGACACTGGCCTTCTTTTCCGCCCCTTGAAGAATCATCGAAATGTCTATAGTCGGTAATAGTCTGGCGACAAACATAACACTGCAATGTACGACATTTGGTACAACAAATCTTATTGCAGCCGTTCAACTTCAAATAGGGATTTTTACCTGTAGCTAAGGTGTTAGTTAGATGCATATAACTTCTTGGGAAAAGGGTCTTTTACATTGATTGCAACGCCGGATTAATGCCGCGCTCATCGCCTCCTCAAGAACGTGTCGAGCGTCAAGACCATGATCAACAGCGGCTTCGGCGCAAGTCTTTGGTATATGTGTTTCCTTACGGCAAAGGCGACAGCTGATCTTTTCACAACCCGGATTGACACAGGTAAACTCCTTGTCAACGTCAACAGGGGGGTATTCCGCTGCATATGGGCAAAATGGGCATGTCTCGAGATTCTCGATGCCGGCCATACGCAACACGGCTTCCTGCTCAAGCCGCTCCAAGACCACACGAAGCTTCTTCTTAAGAAATAGCTTTTTCTGGTCTGCGGAGAAACCAGCCTCGCATCCGTCCATAGACATGCACGATATTTCGTATTTAGACAGGCCAATATTTGTCTCTACCTGAGATCTCATGCAATTCCGACAAAACCAATGAACATTCTCGCCGTCGCAATGAATCATTCGGTTGAGAGGAAACTCGTCAAAGCAACAGCCGCAATCAACCACCTCGCCGATCGACTTCGCATGGGCAAAGTTTTTCTCCTCTTCCGCCTTGCGAGCAACTTCTGCGTCCTTAATGGTTTTCAAATCCCTGGCAGCACGTAATTCTTCGATTGCTGCTCTCTGCTCCTCGTTGTATTCGCTCATGTCAAGATTATCAATACGATCTGGTAAGAACGATACTACTGTTCTTGACGCTCGTCGTTTTTCCGCCCAAGGAGGCCTCGCGTTATCCCAGTTGCGGATGGCATCGTCCATCTTCGTATACGTCTCGAAGATAGATCCTCCATTGGCGCGCAATAAGTTCTTGATCGCTGGTATCGGGACTTTTGGGAAACTGGAATACGTCAGTCTTAGACATAGAACTAGAATTTACCCGCGACGAGAGTAGATTAATAGTAAAAACCAAGAATAGTATGGAAAAGTAAATATTGACATACTGCGACTATGTTAGCTTCTGTAGTATAAAAAGAGATGGTTAAGATGCCTCGAAAAGAAGGGGTTGATTGATTCTTTAGACGCACCTCGGAAGATAAAAGTTTCTTTGCCAGATCTTTATAGTCTGATTTCGTAACCGTAGTTCCCTGGTAGTCAACTTGCTCCAGCTTCTTTCTGGTCGCTCTTATGACAGCATTTTCGGCCTTTCTAGCTTCTTCGGCCTCGTCGTCAGCCTCGTCGTCAACATCGCTATTGTCGTCCTCCGCTCGCTTGCGCTTCAGATCACGGGACTGAACCGGATATTTTTCACCCTTCTCCTGTCGATCAAGAATAGCGCCAATGGTAAAATCCGAATTGTATTTATTTTCAGCGATAATCTGGTCCAGATATGTTGGGCATATATCAGGGAACACGGCTTTGACATGATCTTTGCAGGTATTCTGGGCTGCTAACGATGTTTCGAAGTTCTTGGGGTCATCTACCGGATTTTCGAAGTCTCCAATATCTTCGTAACCTTCTAGATACTCAAGGGGATCGTCGGCAATCTCCACCACGCCTTGCAGCGCATCTTGGCCGTCTATATCGTCATCTATATCGTCATCTATTATGATGGGATACTGTTGTCCCGCCATTTTGGCGTTGTCACGGTTTTGCGACACTGGGGGAATAGGACTACGGACGACCCCAAGTCGCTTGAACCTGCGACGAATCCGAGCCCTTAAGCGACCGGCAAGGTCGGCCCTGGATAACCTTTGGCCCATACGAATTAGTGCTTGATTAACATCGCGAAAATGCATAGCGCTTATGATGTAAAATATAAGGACAAAGGAAAGAGTAAGCCCGAAGTTTTAAGGGGGCTAGTGTAGAAGGAAGGTAGTCGCGAGACGGAGAGATAATACTCAACATTGGGCACATGTCTTAAATATTGGAGATAGGAAGAGGGAAGGAGGAAGGTGGAAAGTGGAAGGGGGAAAGGGGAAAGGGGGGGGAGGAAGAGAGTATAAACTTATTAAAACGTCTAAGCACACAGGGCTGACGTGCACCTACTACAGGTAAATTACCTATATACTTTACCGGCGCGCGGGCAGAAGAAGTAGTTGCTTACCTAAAAAGGAAAGTTTGACCAAGATCAGATAATATGTATGTCCAAGTACCTAACCTCTGTAAAGTGCTTGCGACTTGGTACCGCAACGTCTAGTACCTCGAGGCGAGTGCCGATAGACTGCCGATAGTCCTGTTCAGGTAATTCAGGTAATCTTCGAGGGGGCAATTTGGGTATGTGCGAATGTGTGTATATGCCTACCGTATACGGTGCATACCTCTGGTCAAGGCTGGATTGGTACCTAGACAAGATATAGGACTTGTCCGTGCGGAATACCAACAATAAGAATATTAAGAGAAATAGTTAATCAAAAGAAAGGTTGTTCCAACTCGAGGTAGGATATTTCGCGCATACACCCACCGCCACATACGTACCTCATGGACTAAGTAAGTATGTCGGCGATGACCCTAGGTACCTGTGTCCGAATGTGCTTGAATGGGCGGGATTGTAGCGAAGCGAGAGACAAACAAAGTAGGCAAAATAAGATGGAAAAAATGGAGTAGCGCTACCAACAAGGCAGATAAACAGATGAGTGTATGTATGCACTGTCCACTGTCCCCGGGCCGTTAACGTGGTGAGGAAGACTCGAATTATTATTTCCTAGGTAACTTGGGTGCCGGGTGTCAAGAGCGCCATTTCACCAATTATGTGTGGGTGAGTGTACGAAAACGTCACTAATCACGGTTGACGACGACTCGAATCAGGCTGTCAGGCTGCTGGCAGTCGAAAGGAAACCCCGCTCTCTGAGATGGTAATAAATGACAATAGTAATGGTAATCTCAATAGAGCATACCTGCCATCAGAGGTAGCCAGCTCAATGCCCTTACTTCGATGATCCGATAATGGGATGATAATTCTGTAGGTAGTCTTACAGCGGTACGGATCGGTACAGTAGCTGCGCTCTGAGGGCGACCGGTCGCAAAACTTACATTTATCTCATTGCTATCGGAACGAAGAGGGTTTGAGATATGATTTGTTAGGTTAGGTTAGGTTTGGTAGTTATATACAAACAAGAACTGGCCAGGTATACGAAACGAAGGTACGTGATCGTGATACCACCGAGTTTTAGTTAGATGTTAGATAGGGAGATAGGCAGGGCCAACTTAATTTGAGAATAAGTTGATAAGGATTTTGGTGTGGAAGGGGGGAAATAAATTGAGGCTCTGGTAGGCAGGCTATCCTTTTGTAGCCTGGTCGAAGGTTCAGCATCTGCACTGGCTTGGAGCTTCGGCTCGGAGCGTATGTTGGCTTGGTTACTTTTTCTAAGCCCGCTAAAGCATGTCACTTTAAACCGATAGTCGTCAGGCACATCCCAAAATAAAACGCCAGTCGGCCGTTCTATTATCACGTGCGGATAGTTAAGTGCCTACCAGGTATATAACTTAACGTTGATTTAGCCTTCATGCTAATGCTAACTTACACACCCAAGTCAATTCCTAAAGCGTACCTAACCCAAGTACATACATCGAGTTATTTCCTACATGTGGTTACATGTATGTACTTCTAGCCTTCCCGAATCCTTGGTCCCGATATATGTATGTACCTAAGTAGCGTGGTAGTGCCGACAAGGTTTATCCTGCAAGATTGTAGATCACTTAGTTATGTGTAGTGTACACTTCTAGCACTCTGCATCGAGGACATTATTAGAATAACCTATACAGCTACAGCTATACCTTACTTGGGTAGGTAGTGTATGTGCGATAATCCCCGAGAGGAGCTGTCCTACTCTCTGATTGCCTCGGTAGCTGCGGTCAGCGCGTTCTGGAAAAACTAGCGACGGGAGCTCGGGCTAAGATGAAGGTATTACGAAGAAGCCATGCTTCGGCTTGTTTAAAATCCGGGGATAACGCACACACACTGTTATTAACGCATTGGTAGATATTTGGTTCCTTGTTAATCAACGTCGGCTAGTCTTTAGTTCTTATATCCTCTTCTTACAACAAATCTATCTCCCCCGGGCAAACTTCTCATGCCATTTGCCCTTTGCAACGGGAGGTGCTGCCACTGCTAGTTCTGGGGCAAGTTCGATTGTATCGTGGATTGTTGCAATGGCATTTAGGCTTGCTTCCGGTACCTCCGAAGACGAAGGGGTTGTTCCATCAGAAGAAGCCTTAAGTAAGATTAAAGCATTCGATGTGTTTTTCTGACGGAGACCCCATGATTGCGTGCCATTTTTTAATATTGCCGAATTTGTCGAAGACTCTAGTGTTAAACTATACGACATAAATTGCATTAGCAACTTGTTGAGATATCTTTTATACTCATGATTTACTAACACGGGAGGCGTATCTGATTCCAGTAGTGTAAGCAACTCAGGGGGTAACTCTAATAGCTTATAGCCAACTCCGCCGGGAGCATGATTGAGTGATATTCCCGTCTCCCTTTGACTAGACATTGTTGAGATATCGAATAGCTACGTCGAGTCAGCCCTGCATACGTTGTAACTATTTAACCATTAAGCGGGTGGCGTGGTTTGGCAGTGAGAGCTAATGTGTAATATAGAAATTGCAGTTTGTCGAAAGGGCAAAGTTGGAGAATGCCCTGTTTAATCGTTACAAGGTAATAGCAATACAAATTACCTCGTAGGTAAGTACCTACATACACTAATATAGAAATAATCTAAGCAGGCTAGTGCACCTATGTAAGGTTGCTCAAGTTACCTAGTATGGGCTGAATAGTAAGTGTAAAAAAAAAAACCAAAAAAAAAAACATCTAGACCTATTTTTGGGGGGGATTTCTTGGGGGATAAGGTGGGGTTAAAAATCGAAACGCGGTTTCAAGTTGTCGCGTTTGTTCGGCAAACCTGCTAAATCCCCGAGGGACCACAAAAAAATAGAAACCCTACCCACTTCCGGTCTGATCCTAGTCTTAGCCGTCTCTTGTCACTGACCACTGACCGCAAATGATGCTTCCCACAATAGTACTACTACTCTTGGAGGACTTCGAGGCCGTTGTTGTGCATTGCAATTATTGAAGATCCGGTTTTGGTCTTTGGCGCATTTATTAATTCTCTTTACTCATTATTCCCCTCTTCTGCTCTTCTGCTATATTGCATGGATCATTTTTTGTCGCGGGTGGCCTTGTGTACTATCAATTTAGTCTAGTACTTTTGTTGCTTGCTATCAAAGTAAACAACCGACTGCAGCTTTCGACGCGCACAAGAGGCCAGCCTAAACTTGTTTACTAAAAAACTAACCTGGTCCGAAGACGTTTGCCTCGTTTAACTTGTCCGTCGGGTCTCTTTGTCGACCTCCTCACACTCGTTCCCCCTGCCCGGAGCATGATGCGACAGGCCTACTGAGGCGGCCATGGTTCGCGTCACCGAGGAGCTGGCTCTATCGCCAGATCATCTCACTCTTTACCAAGCTACCGACCCCTTACTAGGTCATCTCCCCTTGCTCATACTTCACGGACCATCCACAACCGCAAATTATACCTTAAACAGTTCAAGAGTCCAGGTTCACGTATATACCCCGGCCGGTTTCCAATCTTTTCCCCGACTTACCATCTCCCCGAACTCGCCTTTCTATAACGTCGTCAATTATCTGCCCCGCGAGTTTCAAGGTGACGAGGTTTATCGAGCTTTAGCCTTTGGGTTATTCAAGTACTTTCAGGAGTTGCCTGAGCATGTCAAGGCCCACGTCAGAAACCAATATCCGACCATTCGAAATCGCCGACCCGGTTCGTTGCCCTCGCTATTCAGTGAACAACATGCCGCCGATATTGCTAAATCGATGGTCAGGGCGGATACCGCCTTCGAAGTCATCCAGAAGTTGCAATCTGCCCTTCAGACGCAACATATAAATAATATCGACATTGACCTTGTTTTACCACCTGGATCCATCAGTCCTCTACAGCCTATTGACCTTGAGGACCTTCCCGAGGATGAGGACGATATTTTAGATCCGACCTTGAGACAATATGGCATGTACACGCCTCTTGTTAAGTTGTTCGGCGAACCCGTCTTCTTACCGACTTCGAGATTACGACGAGCCCCCTCCAAGCCGAGCGCGTTGAATAGAACAAGGTCTTTTTCGAAACAGCAGAAGGCGGAGCTGCGGCGGAAAATGGGCGAGCTATTGGAGACTGAGGAACGCTACGTGGCGAAGATGGATGAGCTGGTGAATCATCTTGCACCCGAGTATAGGCAAAAGGCCAAGGAGCAACAACCGGGAAGTTTTAGTCCTTCGGAAGAGGACGTTGAAAAATTGTTTCCGAGGTCGGCCGATCAAATTTTACAGATTAACACGGGCTTCATGCAAGCTCTGCAACAGATCATGGAAGATACCGAAGGAGATGCTGTAAAGGATATGGAATCCGGTACCGCGTCCTCGAGAGTAGGCGTGTCAGGAAGCGTGGTTGGAAAGGCAAAGGACGCAAGCGGAGCTGTGGCAATGGCAAAGGTCATGCTAGAATGGTTTCCAAAGTTCACCGACTGTTATCAGGACTATATTCGAGCGAGTCAAAACTTCCCTCAGCTAATTACATCCTTTGTTAGTCAACAATCTAGCTTCTCGCAACGAGTAGCCGCCACTGGAGAGCAGCACCTTCGATCTACCGTCATCGAGCCTGTCCAGCGGCTGCCACGCTATAGTTTGGTTATTGACCAAATTGTCGGCTCTCTACCAATTACCCATCCTGCCCTCCAACCTATGTTGAAAGCCAGGGACATCATCGCCAACATCTGCTCCATGGATGATCCGCTCACTGATAAGCCTCATATTAACACACGCCTACGACACATGATCGAGAGTTGGCCCATCGACCTCGAGCCGCTTGGCCGGCTAATTGTTGCCGCTGACTTCTCTGAGATACCGGCTCCTTACCAACCTGGTGCAGCTACACAGCCAGTTCCAAGCGACCAAACCGGCATTTTCCTGCTATTTTCAGATTGTGTTGTGATCGTAAGAAAAGTTTACGGTGCCAACACGTCGGCGCGCGACCTACTACGTGAGATTGATAAGCCATCGCCGGCTGGTCTATTGGTTTCCATGACGAACGCGGCTGGTGGTCCGGGTTCCTACGAGCTAGCATTTGCCGGTTGGCACGCTTTAGCCGATGTGCGGTTTACAGAATCCTCAGATGGACGTATGGTCTGGTTAACTTCGTTGAACGAGATGAAGGGCGCCAATGCCGGCGACTTTGTCACGAGCACGGCAACTACTTCTCGATGCTTCGTGCTACAGGAATTGTACGAAGGCAAAGCCGCAAAATGGAGTGAAGAGGTCGTCAAGGCTAGAGTAGAAGGCAGATTCTCCGAGAAGGAGCGTGAAGATCCTTGTTGGACTCTACGATCTATAAGGATGCCTGATACTGGCCTAGGGTTGTTCGCCGCTGTCTTTCAGGAAGGTCTCGATCAACTGATAGAAGGTCGAAAGGAACCAGCCCCTGTTCGTATCGTTATAGACCATGAAAAGGGTACTAAAGGCGCACCGGTGGGTCACTATGGCGTGGAGATATGCTCGGATGTAAAGACGGGGTCGGGGAGTATGAGGAAAGTGATGGTCATCACAATAGGACTTAACGGAAAGAAGGCGACCGACGAGATTGGACTAGATGATTTCCTTCCAACACTTGCTAGGAGAGGTATGTTTTCGTTGCTAGAGCAATGCGAAGATTTTGCTAATTGAATCGTAGTTATTCAGCTTCTCAGTACTCAATTCAACGTCGGAAACCCAGGACTCACCGCCGCGATGGTGTCATTTCACACAAAGGTCCTTCGGGGTTTAAGCGTCTCTAGCAAAGCTGAAAAAACAAGGTCCTTCCTAGCTACATCACCCGTGAAGTACCTTTCGAACTTCCTGAGCGGGAGCAGCAACTCAGATACAAGCAGTGGCCACAAGCATCAGCGCACGTTGACGGGAGATGCTCCGATCCTTCTTCCTAGCCGACTCAGCCGATCTAATAGCTCCGTTGATGCGAACTCGTTGCATGGCTCAACCAAGAGTAGGGATGGGATTCGGATTGGCGGAACCGATGATGATCGACCAGAAAACCCGTTAGTTCGGCTTGAGCAAACCTTCACTGGTTATATGGCTTGTCTCCAGGCACGCAAGGGTAACTTTATTGGCCGAACGCTGCTGAACAGGTCTAGTGTCGATGAACTCTCCGTGAATGATCTCTACAACAAACTTATCGAAAGTCCCTTCGATATTGAAACTTCATCTGATTGCACCCCTGATGTTATTTTTGTCGCCTTCGAGAAGTTCGTGCGCATCGCTTGGGGAGAACAAATGGGCCCCATCATATCGCTTAAGACGTTAGACGCTCTCCAAGAGAGAGCCTCAAAAAAGCTTCCTGGAGATTTCGCCGACTTCGTTCATTTCCTCTTTAGAGATATAGCACCCCAAAACCGAAGGGCCTTTACTGCCCTGATCAAACTACTAGCGGACCTCCTCGACGGTTGCGCGAACGACAGCGACAGGGGAGCTCTCACCTTGGCATTTGCAGAACTCTTGGTCGAGGATGGGGATGCGCACAATTACATCAATCTGCTCGATAGGCTCGTGGAAGATTGTGACCGAATATTTGACGACGGGCCAAGCGGATTCAGTATAAGCATCGACCAAGCCGAGTCTATCTTCGAATCTATGAATTCGACTACTCGCAGTGTGAGATCGCATACTGGATCGTTCGCTTCGAATACATCCTCTATAAGAAGGAAATTTGGGCTCGAAAACTTTTTGACGAGGCAAAATAGCAAGAACGAGTTGGATAATAGGCCATCTGTATGGCGTACTTTAAGCAAGCACAATAGGAATCCGGCAACCGGTGAGACGACACCGACTTTGGCTAGAAGTCCTGTGATTAGGACAAAGTCGGAAATTGGTACACCGTCTAGTCCGAATAGGATAAGGCGGCCTGGGTCGCGCGACAGACCTCCTATCACAGGTGCCTTCGACGATACCTATTCACGGCCAAATAGTTCGCAAAAGCTCGAAACAATTGGGGAGCCTGAGACCGAGGAGAATTTCCTTAGCACTCCGAGGAGAAAACGTCGGAGTTCACTATCAGATCTTAAGAGCCTCATGGAGGCAGCAACCCTCGAGGACGAACCGCTGCAACCTCTCTCCCATATGAAGCAAACTTCAGAAAAGTTCAATTCCGGGCCACGTATTCCTCCGCCGTCCAGAATCCCAACCAGCCCGCCCTCGCAATATAACAGCCTAGCTATTCGGTCGTCCCGCCAAAAGGAAAACGTTGAGGACCCCTTCCAAACGTCGAACGAATCGCCGAGGAAGGGACATGCCAAGATGCTTTCAACATCTAATATCCCAACTCTGAGACGTGAGAATAGTTCGGCAACTGAATCGACCTCCAGACCTACTTCTAGCCCGAGTAAGTCTCAGGGGAAGCTTCGATTGCAGTCAACGCAAAAACTCCGAGAGCGGTTGC